TGCAGGAAGCAGATACGCTGAAATCTCCAAAGCCATACCTTTTTTTCCATGAGGGAGTGCGGAAGTCGGTTTTCCAAATGCCTAGAAATGCCTGAAGCAATGCTGCAGGGCTTCCACTGGCAGTGGAGGAGCCAAGTGGCACCAGCCCATACCTCCATCTCCAGGTCTTGGCTGCTGGGGTGCTATGTAGGGCCTGTGCGAGTGCACAGGCATCTAGGTGACTTCCATGAATTAATGAAATCAGTAGTACTGTTTGTGCACTGTTAGAAGGGGGAAGGACTGTTTGTGGGCTAATTTGATTGATGATTTGAAAACAGATGGTGCTAACAGAGTTGTACATGATGCAGTACCACAGGTTTTGAAGAACTCACATTTCATACAAATGCAGGCCCTGATCATCTAAAGGTTTATGTATAGTCATAATCCATGAGTGTAATTAGCTGATTTACTTTGTTCAAGGTGTTCAGGTACTTAAAATGAAACACTGGTGTGTGAGTCTGAAACAGCACCACAAGGGTTTTATTAGCTCTCAGTACTTGAAACTGATGTATTGGCTGGCATTTCATTTTCTTCTGTAATTGTGCTATACAGCCTTTTTTATGATTGCATACCGTTACAAGCAGAAATATTTACAGAAGGTGCAGGACCAAGTGCCAGAGAGGCTCTACGGCAGCGTTATGTGCAGCACTGCAATATTGAGGCAATTATGATGTCCATTGGCCAAAGTGATGGTCACAGTCTTCATTCATCAGGGATGGGGGAAGCTCACAAACATAAAGTTCAGTGGGTTAATATGCATTCAGGTTCAGGTGGGAACTCCCAGGTACCTCCCCTGGGGCGAGAGGGGTAGTTTTACACTGTTTGATGTAACACTGGATCACGTCCAGTCCTCTGGTGGAAGGCCCCAGAAATTAGTCTGGGGGCACTTTTGAGGGTTTTTGATTTGCGACACTTTCTAAGACATGGCCGATGTTTCTCACACCAGAGCCCATTTTGCCCCATCAGAAGGGATGAATACCTCCAGGCCTACATGTGAATGTCCAGTACCTCCTCGGGAGCAGGGCAGAGGGGTTTATGCCTGAACCAGTTGTGTAAGGGAGGACATTGACATGGCAGGACTAAAGTGGGGCACCTGCAGTGTCCCACTACAGATACCACATCCCTAAAACTCATCAGACTCCTCTGTGCCCTTGCCACAGGTCTTACCTGTGGTCAGAATGGTCACTGAGCTGGGCTCTGCATGTGACTTGTTCATTTGGCTGTCATTAGCCTTCCAGGAGAAAAGAAATGTTCTTACCCAAAAGCATCCAAGCTCATTACTGTTCATGGTGCCCTCCACACTGGTCTCCTTTGATCAGAGAAGTAAATTTAGACTTGAGAGAAAAACTCGAGGCTCAGCGGGCTACCCCCAGTCCACCTCTCTCTGCCTTTAAAATGCTGTTGAAAATACTTTTAGCCAAGATGTTTCCCACTTATGGGGTATAATTATGAGCTATGTTCCTTTACAACCAAGATCTTTGATCCTAACAGAATTCAGTCTTTTAGTTTAACAGACTTTTAATTATTTGACTCATTTTTATCTCTGCAGTCCTTTGAGTCCTACTTCCACTGGGAGGTAACGTGCTGACTAAACGCATTTAGTATTATCTTACAGATAAGACTGAAAATCCTTGCAGTAGAGCTTGGATCTCAGATAAACTCTCTGCAAGGTGAGATTTATTGTGGCCCCAGTGGTTCTCCAGTGTAGTAGGGAGGGATTTGGCAGCACAGTGGAGATGCCCATCCTGATGTGAACTCCCACAGCATGGTAGTTTATTGAGAAAGTTGTGAAGTTGTGGTGTGCCAGAGCATTGCCAGAGCTACTGATCAGAGGTTGGGCCACAATTTATTGGGCTGTTTCAAATGGATTTTGCTGGCAATGTGTTATGTCCTCTAAGCCCTAATGATTTGCTTTGGTGGCTTTGTCCCACCTTAGCTTTTCTTAACAGTAAAATAAGGTTCTAACAGATAGCTGTATGGCTAACAGAAGGAGCAGGATTTCTTCTGTGAGTGTGCAACTCTTTGAAGGTGCTGGCCTTAAAATTGGAAATCCTGGTATTGTATAGCTTCCTCAGGCTATGCAGATTTCTGTTTAGTCAAACAGGCTTCTGTGCAGTGCAGGCATCTTGGCAAAACAGCACCAGATGCTTTTTCTAGGATCATCTTGTAAAGGGATGCATAAATCACCTGTTTACAAGTCCTCAAAGGAATAGTATTGATTTGGCATAAATGTTTGTATATGGTAATAAATAACGATCTAATGGCCGTTATTTATTCCAATGTTGTTTTAAGTTAATGCGAACACAGGTTTCAGCTGTTATGTCTGCACTCTTTAAGAACAGACCTTGATCCCATAATAAGGTGTGTGCAGCAGTCTGCTTGTTTATGCTATGTGTGTCTTTGCTACTCTGCAAGTCACGGTCACTTCCAGCAAGTTTTTCTTGCATGGAAAGTGGGGGGAAGTCTCAATGAAGTTATGGTGGAAAATCCATGTTTGTTAAGTGAATAATGTTTTTGCATTGCAGTTAAAATATTTGTTAGGGAAGATATTTGGACTCAAAAATGTGAAGTCTGTAACTCAGGACATTTAAAAGATGGCAGCTAAAGCCAAACATGTAGAAAACAAAAATTCAAAATGCATAGGATGTTTGGAAATTCCTCACAGCTCTCAAACAGGCAAGGTTTCTTTAGAGCTCAGGATTTTTTATGTGGGTCTTTTGTGAGCCTGAGCATTTTCAGAGACCTGCCCTGCAGGTCTTTCAGGAGAAGCACCAATAATGTTGAAAGCTTACTTCAAAAGGCAAAATTCTCAAAGGTTTTTTATGTGGTGCTTGGTTTCATTTTTTAACCCGTAGCTGCTAATTTTTCATAAACCATAGGTAAGCCATACTCCCTTTTCTTAGTCTTATTACTAGAGTCTAGCTAGGAGTCTTCAACTTGCTTTTGAAACATTAAGCTAGGAGGAAGCCATTCTAAAGCAAGACTTGGCACATGTACAGATGAGCCAAAAGCATCAGCCTTTTTCCAGGAGCAAGATTGCAGCTGGAACTCAGCACCTCTGTGATCTTACAGCAAAAGAGCCAAAAGGCTCTTGTGGACAAGGGTCTGAGGGTCAGTCTGGAGCTAGGAACCTCAGGGCATCTTCTGTAATAGACAGCACCTTCCTGGATTATTGCCTTGTGATTTTTCCTGCAAGTCACGAGCAGTTGGGTAAAACACCATCCCTCCTCAAGGTGCCTGTATCTTACGTGCTGGAGGGCAGTGTTGCAGTGAAAACCAATGCAGCCTGTGGGCTACGTTCCCTGTACAGGAAGGGTTCAGGTGGCAACACACTCCACGTGCTGCCCTGCTGCCTCCTGTCTCTGCCATGCCCTAGTGTGTGCCATTGCAGGTTGGCATGCAGTGAGATGGAGAGGGGCCTCCATCTTCACTGTGTTTCTGCACTGTTCTGTCATGTGGAATTGCTTCCAAATCTCATCCCCTGATAGTTTTATGTCATTTAGTTTTCTTAAGTATTGCTCATCAGGCTCCAGGTTGCAAAGCAGTTAGATGGAACAACCACCTGTACCTGTTACTGAGCAGCCCTTACATTTCAAGGGCTCATTAAGGGCAAAATCTAGTGCTGTTCAGTTAGATATGGGTACTGTACTTAACTGCAGGACAGCGTTCATCTCTCATACAGAACTGGAAGGCCAGCAGTCCATCTGCCACAGTCACTCTTTCTCCCTGAATAGCTTCAATATAGAATTCTTCAGGTCACTGGGCCTTTCAAATGAATGAAGAAATTGGCCATCCGTGCTACATTAAACCCTGCTTGGAATATTTACAGATTTTTATAAACAAATACTTTAGTTTATACTAAACCTGGGGTTTAGGAGTATCCTTTGCCATTCTAACTCTTTACCAGTTAGAATCTTGCTGGTAATTATTTATGTGGAAAGCAGAAAGGCGTTGAAGACTTCAGAGAGAGAGACTTCAGGCATAAGAGGCTGTTGGGAGCTCCAGCTTTGCTTGTCTGATTTAATTGTAGTTAACTACTCAGTATAACTTAACTAGGGATGAAAAGTCCCAGAGAAATCTGGAGGTAACAGGAGGGTCACAAAGTAGGAGTGGGCTGTGGTTACTTGGAGGACATGAAAAAGCAGACATGCAAGACCAATGAACATAGAGTCTGGTATAGCAAGGATGGCAACTGGGCAAAGCCAGGCTTCTTCCTGACACAGCATATACCGCTTCAGCTTTTTCAGAAGAGCTCCAGCTCTTAAGAAGCCTGAGAACAAATAAACCTAATCCTGGCACTTCCTTCACCCATGCTAGAAAGCTATACTGTGCTGTGGTGACTAGCGAGTACAGTGCAAAAAATATCTTTTGTAGGGCAGCTTTATTTAACTTTTGAAAAAATAAGGTCAGAAATTTAGGGCAATTAGTGTGAGCAAAGCTCGGCAGGTTCACATCTCCCTTATGCAACCAGATCTCTAATTACTATCTGCATATTTTAAACACTTTATACAGTCCTTTGAAATACAGTTTTTCTCTAACTACAATCTTGTATGCAGTTTCTCATTTTTTTAACAGTTGAGAGCTGCATGTGTTTTCTGTCTTAATTTGTAATTCTCTCCCCATTTCATCTTCAGTAAAATATTTGAGTAAATTTTCCTGTGTATTTACAATTGCATTTGGAATTATGGGTTATAACTTCAGTAAGTTGCATGGTTAGGAAACTGTAATGAACTTTTTAATTATATAGATTGAGCACCAAACTTTATATATATGTTTCATGGGTAGGCAGTTCATTACATTTGTAGATCTGCTTTGTCTAAGTCTGTGTTTTATTCTTTGAGAGCTGAGGCACACACCTGTTAAATTGAAGTAGGACTTGCTGTTTTGGAGATACTACTGATTCTACTGCCATAGTTTGTTTTGCTTGTTTCTAATATGTCAGGGTTTTTTTGTTTACACAGAGACTTTGCTTATGTGGCAAGAGACAAAGACACGAGAATTCTAAAATGTCATGTGTTTCGATGTGACACACCTGCAAAAGCCATCGCTACAAGTTTACATGAAATCTGCTCAAAGGCAAGTGGATTTAAAATCAGCTGCATTCAACTGTTTAGAGATCCCTGAGCCTTATACATACATGTAATCAGCAGTTGTATGCAGTGTTAGTTTAGTTTATATCACTGGCAACAAGAATGATGTAGAGAATTTGTAAAGGAAAGGATGCAAACGGATAGGAATTATGGGAGAGTGAGCATTTAGATTTGAGAAAAATGATATGTGCTTTTGATTTGACAAGTGTGTATAGAGACTGAAGGTTTTCTTGAGTAAGAAAGAAGCTGCAGGTTCAAAATGGAAAAAGAACACAGAGCTTCAATGAATAATAAACTGTGATCTTAAACTCCATAAATAAATCAGACCTTGCTTGAATGGTGTTATTCAATGGTATTATCCTGCAGGAGAGACAGAAAATAGTTGCTAAGTATATTTTAAAAAAATCATGGAGAAGAGGGGGTGTAAGCTACTGTGGTTAGGAATACTAAAGAATCCTAGCTCCTGCTGATCGTAGTGTTGTCTGTAATACTGGAGAGGACTGTACTTTTTGATCATTTTACCTTATAGATTTGACACCATTTCCTGGTTATTAATTTTTATTTTCTTGGATGATCTGTTTATGAGTGTCCTCTGTACACTCATTTCATGCAGCAATAGCAAGGCAGCACATTCTTTACAGCAAGCAGTCTGATTGAAATGCTTTTTAAAGAGGAAGTTAAACCAATCTACTTGAAGCTCCTCTTTTACTCTTTTATTGAGTTGTGGTGGATTTGCAGCTGCATCCCCCTTTTTAAAAATACTATGCTTCTAATTGTGGTTTTCATTAAAATATGGCAGTTTGCACCACAGGAAGAGTGGGCTGTGGGGACTAATAACTTTATCAGTTATCTCTGTGTAACTTGTCCCTCCTCATAAGTCACAGCTCTTCTAGAAAAGCTATTTAGAAAACCTTCAAGTTCTGAAATTCTGCTGTATGCCTGTCATTTGCTTTTTACATTTTGTCTTCATGTTAGTGAATGGAATCAGTGACGCCAAACCCTCCTCTATAGTCAGTTGTATAGTCTAAAAAATTTTCATTTTTGCAACACCGCAGATGTGATACTGAACTTGTGATATCTCATGCAAGCAAGGTGAGCATTTGCACAGTGTGCATTACTGTAGCCCTCTGGGCAGCATAGTTATGCCTGAGGCAGAAGGTAGCCCAGCAACTGTGCAAAGTCTGGCACGTTTGTCCTGGTTCGGGTGCCAGAGGGAGTAGCAGTGGCAGCACTCAGGTAGCTGCTTGGTTTGGCCAAGGAGCTGCAGGCTGTGCTTGGTGAAGTTTAACACCAGGGACTGCAGCAGTGGGGGAAGAACAGGTTGTATTTTGCATGGGATTTTTAATTCCAGAATAAACATAAAAATGGAGGGAAAAATCATATACAGCAGAAGATAGTTCAGAGAGAAACATAAATAATGAACACTCTTCTCTGTGCGTTAAATATTTATATTTCTTGCTATATTACTCCTCCTCCTATCAACTGCAATTTTACTGTTCAGAAAAATGGCTAGAGTTTTTTTCCTCCTCCATCTGTCTTTCATCTAGGCTTGTACACCACTTAAGTTCTTTATGTAGTAAAGGAATGCTGAATAAAGTGGAGGAAAATTAAAGTTGTTATTTAAAAAGAATAACCTGCTTAGTCATGTGGCTTCTGACTTCAGATTTCAGAAACTAGGATTGTAATAGGAGTAAATTTGTAGTTGTTGCTGTACTTTTTTTTTTAATGCTGTATTATCACTGTCTTCTTCAGATTATGGCTGAACGGAAGAATGCTAAAGCCATGGCTTGCAGCTCATTGCAAGACAGGACAAATGTCACTCTTGATGTTCCTCTGCAAGGTACTGTGTTGCAGCTAGTATCCTCAGGATGGTCCTGTTTTAGATGAGTTTTGTTTCTGATGCAACTTTGGATGAAAATGCAGCATATTGATTGGAGAGCAAGCCTGTCTTTTAATTAATGTATCTGACTGTAACCTGTTCCTGTTTTACTTTAAATATTTTTACTTGTTATGTTGACAGTAATGGACCTCTACTCAATTATGTCAACTTGTGCATTTCCTCTTTTATTTTGAAGTGCAAGTGTTGCAAATCCAGTCTTACTTTTTTGGGGATATTTGGACATAATGTCCTTTTCAAACCAAAATACCTCCTGACTTAAGACTGCACCAGTTGGCCAAATCTTCCTGTTACAACCTGCCCCAGAAGGCGAGGGTAACCCAGATTCTTTTTAAAAGGTCCCTTGGGGTGGATTAGAGTGAAACAACACCGAGCGATTGGTGTTTGTAAATATATATATGTAGGGTTTATTTTGGTTGCAAAGGAAAACATGTATGTAGCCATATTGATTGGTATTATATACAGAACTATAGCAATATAAAAGCATAAAAATAACACTTTAAATGTATAAGGAAAGGTAAGAGAAAGAAAGGATAAAAGTAGAAAGATATATAGCCACCACCCGTTGGATGCAGCGATGAGAGTTGGTAGTTGCAATTTCAATGTCTGTTGGCTGAAGTGACAGTCACAGTCTTGTGGAACTGATGGTCTTGATCCGGTGGGGGCAGCCCACAAAACTCAAAGATTTCTCGGGTTCAGGGGGAAACGCTTAATACTGTCTGTGGACTGGGGAGTTTTACACTTGATGATGTAAAACTGGATTACAAGACATTTAATGATTCTTTGACACCTTCTAAGATGTTACAGATGCCTGTTATGTCAGCACAGTTGAGTCCATAAAGGCCCATCAGCAGAGATACCTCCAGGCCATGTGTGAATGTCTCAGTGCTTCCCCAGAGGGGAGTTATCACAGCTGAGTCATTTGTGTAAGGAAAAAGAAACACTACCCTGCCTCACAGGGCTTGCCTCTTTCCTTATCTTGTTTAACACCCAGCTTGTAGCCTGAGGTGTCAGGTGTGCACACCTTCAGCACCTGCGCAGCCACTGTGCACATTGTTATCAAAGCACCCTGCTGGTTGTTGGAGCCCTTGGCGTTAACAGTCCAGTCTCTCAAGGGAGTGGGAGACTGCCAATGAGTCTGTGGGCTATGGCCTCCTCCCAGCCTTGTTTGCTTTGCCTTAAACCTGAGGTGATTAGACAATAGCACCACATTTATCTTACCTCAGGTTCCAGTTAGGAGGCTTAACTCACAGTCCAGTTCCCTGAAATCCAGGAGGCATATTCAGTGGGGATTGAGCTTTAATGATCTTAACAATGTTCTAAGCCATTAATAATTTCAGTCTCTCACACTTAAAACCAGAATATACTCCAGTTAATCACTTGGATTCAGAGGAGCCGTAGGAGTACTCCTCCTAGGTTTCAGCATCTATTTTAGAAATTTCTGAGGCAAGGAGTGCAAGTGGGTTTTCGTCCAGCTGAAGGGTCTTCTGCACACTCTAATGCATTGTAGAAGGAAGTTGCATTTTTGTGCCTTTATTAGTCATACCTTAGTAGTTGCTATTTTGAAAGTATTCCAGGAGAACAAACATACTTTGTGTTAGCTTTACAGGACATTATATGCTTCTAGATCCACCAATTTGTAATGAATATCTTACTTCTAATCCATACATCAACTTGTGTAATGGTCTGTGTAATGTGTAGTGTTCAGACAGTAGTATTGATTACTTGGAGACTGTATTTAGCATATTAGCAAGGATGGTATTAAAAGCAGATTCCAGATTTTACATAGTTATTTTTTAGTGAAACTTAGGTCTATATGTCTCAAAAACCCATTCATCTATGTTTTCTGGTTTTTAATATGCCAGCAATATAATGTGACCTTATTCTTAGCGTCCACCAAACATCAGCTGATGAAAATTTATTCCTAATTCCTTTAGAAATTATTGAGGCTTGCTCTTGTTAGAAGAAGTAAAAATCTGTTTTAATCGATCAATACCTTCAGAGTGCAATTACTGGGTAAACTGTTCTATGTTATTGATGAAATAAAAGTGGTTTTTCCTGCTGTGAATGCTGATTAATAGAAATTGAGTTTTGTTCCCATGCAGTAGATTTCCCAACACCAAAGACAGAACTGGTACAGAAGTTCCACGTCCAGTACCTGGGCATGCTGCCTGTAGCTAAACCTGTGGGTATGTAACACTTAAATGTCTTCCAAAGTACCTTGCATAAGCTCTGAAAGCTGGACTCTGGCTAGCCTAGGGTAAATGCATGGTTTTTGAAGGGTGCCAACTCTTGTGTTTCACCCATACGAATCAGGCACGAAGACATCAAATATTCAGGGCATCATGTGAACATGTGTTTTGCAGCCAGGGTAATTTAGGAGCTGCCAAGAAGGCGAAGTTTCTTTCTACATCTTCCTCTGAATATAAGCTCTGCTACTAATGAGAAGGGCCCTAGAGATCTGAAATGGTGCAGCAACTAAACAAGATGCTGTCCTGGTTTTTATAAGCCAGAGACACCTGTTTTGGTTTTGCAGATGAAGAAATACAACTTCACAATACTTCCTTCCATTATCAAAATAATTTTAATAAGGAGCCCAGAACAATCTGTTTTCTGTACTACAGTGTGAAGATTAAAAGTTTTGTTATTGTTTACATATTTTATTTTTCATTATTGCATTTTCTTCTTTTTAGGAATGGATACTCTGAATAGTGCCATTGAGAGTCTTATGGCTTCCTCTAGCAAAGATGACTGGATGGCAGTTACCATGAATGTTGCTGATGCTACTGTCACAGTAATCAATGAAAGAGTAAGGCAGACTGTCTTGTTTAAAACACATTTAACATGAGTGTTGAAAACCAGGAACACGGAAACATTAGTAGAGTTAATTTACACTGGAATTCATTTGTTTATTTTGCATTTTGTTTCTTTCCAGAATCTGCAGAGGCTCTTACTGCTTGTATCAGCTTCAGCTTTCTTTACCATTCCAAGCATGTTCTCAGAAATAAAAAGTTTTCATTAGATACTTAAATTCAGTTTCTAGGAATTTGGAGCCTAAAATGCTGTAGGTTAAGCCCTAAGTAACAATCCTAAATTCCAAACTATATTTACTTTATTCTTGGTATGGAAGCCAAGAGTAATATTTAAATCTGTGTTACAGAGGAAAATGTAGAGCATTTTCCATAGAGATTAATACAGTGAAACTTTTGAAGAAAGTCTTTTATATATGTCTTTTGATGAGGTACTAAACCAGCATCTCTATAGCATACCAGTGATAGGGGAGCGTATTTTGGAGTCATTATAGGCATGTTGTTTTGTTTCTTCACAAAACGAGCAGTTTGTGAAATGTACAACATGCTCTGTGCTAACATTCAAAGCCTTGGTTTTCCAGTGGCAGCCTAGAAGGAGATCCAGCCCAGGCCTGAGCACGCTGGGCATATGCAGATAAATCAGGAATTACAATACTGTTTCAGCATATCCTCCTATGTAATCAAAATTGGAAGTTCCACAGAATATCCAAGAGTAATGGTCGTTTGATTCATTACCAGAATGAAGAGGAAGTCATGGTGGAGTGTCGTGTGCGGTTCCTGTCCTTCATGGGAGTAGGCAAAGACATTCACACGTTCGCCTTCATTATGGATACAGGAAACCAGCATTTTGAGTGCCACGTTTTTTGGTGCGAACCAAATGCAGGCAACGTATCAGAAGCTGTTCAGGCTGCTTGTATGGTAAGTGACCTTCTTCAAAGGCATCTAATAGCACTTAGATTTTTCACTGTCTCCATAAATAATCATCTTTCCAAATTTGCAATTATATTCATTTCAAGGCAGAAAAAGAATGAACAGATAAAAATAGGAATTGGTATTATGATATATTTAATTAATTAAAATCCAAACTTTTAAAGTTTGAAATGCCAGTTTAGTGAATAATGCCCCTTTAATCATCCTCCTTACCTTTGCAATGTCTCTGTAAGTTAGAAATCTTTTCTTTCACTACACAATTGTTATACAATCCAATGGCAATATAGTGAAAATAATCCTTGTTCCAAAGTAGCTGAACCCAGAAAACTTATTTTTCAGTTTTCAAATGGTTGTTTATATGATGCAGTATCTGTTGTGTGCTAATGAAGTTTCTGCCCACACACTGACAGACCAATGTCCCGTTAACTTGAGCTACGCTTTCTGTCACAGCCAAAACAGAGGTTTGGCTATATTTAATGAGAAAGTACTAAGAGTGTATTTGAAATGCTCTGTGAAATTATTGGATAGAGTATTGATTGCAGAATGGTTTTGCTTTGTTGCAGTTACGGTATCAGAAGTGCTTAGTAGCCAGACCTCCTTCACAGAAAGTTCGACCGCCCCCACCTCCTGCAGACTCGGTGACTAGAAGAGTTACAACTAACGTAAAAAGAGGAGTGTTGTCTCTCATTGACACTTTGAAACAGAAACGTCCGGTCACTGAGATGCCATAGCTGCGCAAGAGGGAAGATTCTTCTAACATTTAACTGAAGATAACAGTAGCTACACTAAGGAAAATGAACTGACGATATCTGGCCTTCCATTTCAATTGCTGATGCTTTGTCTTCAGAGAATTTACCTTTATCAAAACAATATTAGACAAGCATGTTCTCTCGTTCTTGCCACCATCGTCTGATATGAAAAGAAGCATGAATAATTTTTTTGCTGTCAGTGAGTTACATCATGGGCAATGGAAGGTTTGTTTGATTGTAAATACATGAACATTACCTAAACTCACACAAAAAAAGAATATGGCCATGTCCCTCCCAGTGAACTCATGCTAAAGTCCGTGGAGTGAATGATGCCTGAGTTAAAATTTCACCTTCTTGAGCTGGATTTGTCACAAACCAACCTTAAATCCTGCAGCACTTTGCTGTGTTTTCAACACTGGAATGGGTACCAAGTATTAGCTACCATTGAATTACTGTAGATTAAATAACAAGGTTTGTTTTTTACAGAACTACACCTGTTAGTTTTAAATTGTTTGTCAGCGTTGGTCTAGCAACCACTGTAACATCTCCCTGACATGCTTTGGAATCATGGTGTAATTATTTCATCTTTTGGTTACACATTGTGGTCTTAGAGAAGAATCGTGTTTAAAACCAAATCAATGATGAAAAATCCAGAAATGGTTTTAGTAATTGAGTTGCAGGGTGATCAACTGAAGCTTTTCAGCTTTAAACATACAAATGAAACTGTTGGCTGTTAAATTTATTCTCCTAAATCTGTCATTTATTCATCAGAAATACCATTTGTTTCATGCAGGGCTCAAAACAATCAGGATTAAGTAAGAAATAATGATTTTATTGTCTTAAAATTGTTATAGAGGCTAAACTATTCCATACTTTTTCCATTCAAGTGTTTGATGAAATGTTCAATTCCGTGTCTGGTTGCACAATTCCCCCTTCCCTTAGAGTTTGCTGCTGAATACTTAGCATGCCAGAAAAAGAACAATTATGTTTCTTGTTATTTACAAAATTCCATGAAATTATTTTACTTTTAATGCTCTTGTAACAAAATTAGAAGAGAGTTGTTTTCTGACAGGGTAGTGCTTCAGGTGATACAATGTTATTTCAATGCTTTTGCTCCAAAGGCTTCATCTGATTGCTTTCATTGACACACCTGCAGACCCTCACAAATCAGCCCAGCATTGCCCTCAAAATTGCACCTCAGGCTAATTTTGAAATGCAGTTATGCATCTTCAGTCTTTCCCTTGGCCATCTTCTGTCTAGACCTGCAGATTGGTACACACTTTGGACATGGAACATTAAAAGTATTTTTAACTTGTGTTAAAAATGTTTTGCCTCCATTTATAGATAAGTTCCAAACCTTAAGTGTCTCCCAAGTCTGCAAATCTGGTCATACTGCAAAGATAAAGGAACATTGTCAATGTTATTCTTACAGTAACTCCTTTTTATTTTACTATGCAAGAGACTGTTAGAAACAAACTATTTTCTTTTTTATTTCCTTGTTTAAAGAAATTAGTGACAACACCTGGGCAAAGTAACTTAGGAACACAACAGGAAAAGAATGACAATTCCAGAAATTTCTGCATTGAAAAATGCAGAAATATCATTAAACTAAACTCAGCATGATGTATGAGCAAATGTCAGGTGAAGGCTAGCTATGCAACTATGGTAATTATATTTAGCTCTCTAGAATACGCTCTGAAGAGCTGATCCTCCACACATCTGAGATCTCTTCATGACAGAGATTCTGCACCTCAGGCACTGAAGCAATTGTCTCCCCTCTCAAGGCTCACATTCTTGCCATCTCCTTTGCACCAGCTCTATTGCTTGTACAGCTGGAAGAGAAGCTGCTTGTGCTGAGTGTGCAGGGAGAGCTGCAGGTGAGGGGGTGCAAACAACTCCCCTCCCCCTAAGCAGTACCAGTGGTTTAACCGAGTACAAAGCCAAATCACAAAGCATGGGCATGGCAGCTTGCGTACCTGCTTCTATAGTTTCTGATATTGATCCCAGTCACCTCTGCTAGGAGCAGTATAAAAACTCACTTCCTATCAGAGAACTTCCCAAATCTTCGTTCGCGAAGCCCAGCCATGAGTGAGATCAGAGAACCACAGAACTGTTTGGGTTGGAAGAGACCTTAAAGATCATCTGGTTCCAACCCTCCTGCCATAGGCAAGGACACTTTCCACTAGACTGGGTTGCTGAGCCCCATCCATCCTGGCCTTGAACACTTCCAGGGATGACTGCCCTTAAAATGTGGTGGCTAACACTGTACCTTTAGGTATATTTGTGAAGTTAAGAGATAAAAGTTTCCTTTTTTGGCATTGTGCCAGTGATTCAAATTTTATTTTAAATTACTTTACAGTGTCTTTTTAAAGTTCCAGCTGGGAACAGCGTGATTTGGGATTTGCAACTGTTGTACAACAGTGAAATAATTTTAAGCAGTATAATTAAATTTCATCATTGCACCTCTACAGTGCTGATTCTCCCCAGGAAAGATCCAGACTAACTAAACCAACACTTAGTGAGCAGCAGTGTGAAGTTCTGCACCAGTGTTGTCAAGGCTATGAACATCTGGTTAGTTTTCAGTAGCAATGTGTGCAATTGCAGGAAGGGCTGAGAAGACAGAAGGGTATTTGAAAAGCTGTACTTCACTCACCAATGTTTGTTTTAAGAGGTTTGTGTCTGTTAACAAAACGCTGTTGATTTTGCAAGTATTTAAGTAGTGTGCTTAATGGTCTGACTATATGTGGCCTTTTTGCTTCAGTAGATCTCCTTATTCTCCAAAAGATTTAATATACATCCAGGTGTTTGCAGAGTTGGAGCCTAATATTGCAAAGCCCCTTATCTTTTGTTAAACAGTATATTCAGATGCTCTTTTTACCATGGCCAAAAAAGTATGTATGGGGTGTGTGTGTTTGAGCAACTGCCACTGTTCTAGTTGATGTTATAGCAACCCTTCAGTTATCTATGCATTTTTTATAATACCTAGTGATTCTGTAGACTGGCAGCCATGTTCACTATGCCTTGTATGTCTGATGCCATATTCTAACTTAACCTGTTAAATACAGCTTAAAATATTTTTATTTTATTTATTCTATTTTTACTGAAATATCCTGCATTATTATGTTGATGTATTGTCTTTACCGGACGTGCTCTTGTAACATTCTCCACTCTGTATACTATAGGTTGCCTAAAAAAGGCAGGCTTTGTAATTATTTGTAGTCACATTTTTATTGAAGTCTGTAGAAAAATCATGTAAAGCAAAGCTAATTTCTTCAGTTTTTTCAATGCAAGTACTAAGTTAGAGGTAAGTATCACGTGTCAGTCAGTCATGTCATTAACACACTCCCTTGCAGAAGCAAGGAAATTTATTTTCAGTCAATGACTAAAAGATAAAAGCCTTTCTTTTGAAATCTGCAGTGCTGGCTGAAGGTTTTATTTAAGCCACTTACTGTTTCATTTGAAGGGGAGCAAGGGGGGGGCTGTGAGAGATGTAAGGCCACAGAGGCCACCTACAGGGTGGTTAAATGGGAATAACAAAAATTGCATGGAAGGGCATAGAATCCATTCACAGTAAAATGAGGTTTTAGTGATATACTTCCTGTGCAGAGTCACATGTACCTAGAAAAGTAATATGCCCTTTTGAGACAGAGGAACAAAAACTATGTAGTATCTAATAGCTTAATCAGTTCTGTGTCACTGAGGGTTCTACATCTCTTTCCTTTTAAATGTATCAAGCATTTCATAGATCATTTACCTAGAGATCTAAACTGGTTAGTATATCACCCATGGAAAAGAGAACTTTCTCATTTCAACAGTGAGTATGGCCTCAGCATTTCATCATCAATGGCATCAGCATTACCATCGACCACATTACTCCTTTCTTGGGCAGGTTCATTAACACATTGCTACAACTTCTATGTACAGTCAGCCAAAGCAGGTTTGTTTAACAGCAGTAAGAAAGAAGGAAACACATCCACTGTTTATTAGGAGAGCCCAGTCTTACATAAAGCACTTGACTGACACAGAAAAGGACAATTTTCCCTGCTGTTGGCCACTTCTCCACATTTAAATGTAATCTGTTCTGAGAATAAATTTAGCTGCATAAAGTGATTGTCTCAACTGTTACTGCTCCATGAAACTGGGAAATTATTTTTTTGTTCCAAATGGTGGTTGAGGGACGGGAAAAACAAAGTGGTGGCTTTAGAGGCAATAGCAGTACAATGGAGACTTTTGCATCTGGAAAGTTGAATCAACAGTTTCTAGTTGAAAATTACAAACTGGGACAACTGGATTACTGAAAAACAGTTACATAAGATACAGTTTTACTGTAAAAAGTCATTGAGTGTTAACTTAATGTACAAGCATCTACAAGCCATCTGGACCCAGTCCCAGATGTTTCCACCAAGTGAAGCTCAGTGCTTACAAAGCTGCTGACCTGCAGAGTCAAAATATTCACTCTCTGATATTCTTAGTAAGACATCAAGATTCTAACTGGTTTAGCTTCCATACCATTTCAAAAATGCAAATTCTGAAAGCAAGATGAGGCTGATTGTGGGACATCATGACATATATTACATAAGTAGCCCAGAAATTCTGTCATCAGACACATACATGTATCTTCTTTTACAAGTAATTTTAACTTTAATAATGAATGATACAGATCTTGATTTAAAAAAAATCATTCTCTAACCACAGAATCTCTTAAGTTTATTTTAACCATTTAACAACCATACAGGAAGAAAAAAAAATTAAATCTTCTTAGTGTCCATTCCCACTGTCCAACATGTAGAATCTCTCCTCCTCCTAGATGGTTTTGAAATAAGAATTTCTTTTTTTTCCAGTTCTACATATTGTGGTGCACAGGTCTAAATCTATCCTTACAGGTTTGCTCAAAAACAAGAGCAGAATTCACTATGTATTTGGAATGGGTAAGGACCATGGGTTGCTCACAGGGATATGCAGGAGGTATGGGATGTCTTTGCCTAGGAGAGCTGGCTCAGATTAAAATGCTAAAAGAAATTTTCAGTGATTCAGTGAAGCAACAATATCCAATGAACACGAGCCAGCTGTTTATGTTGCTGGTGTAGTATCATTCACATCCTTTCTTATAAAGGTACTGCTGATCCAGCGACACCGACTGGTGTGGGTGAAGAAAAAGTAGAGATGTTAAAACATTTTCTCTGGATCGATCTAAATCCAGACCCATATGTCAAATCAATTAAGATTCCATACTACATTTTGTTGCTGCTCATGGCAACACTCTTGCCAAGTATCTTAAATGGCTGCCTAGAGGAAAATTTCTCTTCTGGACCACAGCTACCTTTGCCTTTCTATATTGCTGTGCTGTTTCATTTTTAGAACACTTCTAAACACAAATCAGAGTATTGCTAAAAGTATCTTCGTGTCTCCCTTTATGCTCTGCTTAGATGATAAAACAACCGTAGCTATTTTACAGTTATTTAATCTTTGCTGGGAAGAGGGAGCAGCTTAGAAGTCCATGACTGTTTCCAAAGACAGGCAAACTACTCTGTGTTCAGTCATTATTCAGCTGACTAGCAGTAACGTTTATAAACGTAAGTTGTTTTGACAGTATCAGCTCTTTTTCTTTTAAGAAATTGATCAGGAGCAATTATGAGCCATGACATAGTCTGACATGACATTATGATGACAGTTCAGCATTTCTAACATGAGAATATTTTATCCATTTTTCATAGTTAATATTTTGAAGTACACTTGAGTAGAAACCAAGGGAGTAAGTACAAGAAAGCCTGTGCATGGCCCTTAGTATACTTGGCCAGTTTCCTGTACAAAAGTTCACATCTAGTTTTAGAAATAAAGGTGAGCTAACGAGCTTACTGTGCAAAGCATCAAAGTGGAAACTCGCAAAAATGGTACCTAGAACTTGTAAAGAAAAGTAGCCACTTAAAAAATGCAGTCTCACTTAAAAAAAATACCCATTTGAAATTGATTACTCTTACAGAACTAGGCCATGATGGGGGGTCAGATGTATGATTTAACTTGTCAATTTAAAGCATATAACAAGAGATTACAGTTTTTTGACCTCACTGCTCGCAACAGTCTATCAGCCTTAGGCAGCTGAGCTTCGTTCACTTTAAAGTGTGATTAGTGGATTAAAAATTACTATATAACCTGGAGATTTCTACACAAATAGCCATAACATAGCTCTTTCCCACACCAAGATTATCCTGCATAAATATATACTGTAATCAAAGAGTATTGATTGATATACAGGAATCTTTACCTTCTGTATAAAGGAAGAGCCAAGTTTGAAGGTTCCCATGGTCAGAGATGTTTAAGCACAGTTGGCTTGACCATTTTAGACAGGGGTGGTGGAAATATTCAACCACTTGGACCCTGTGCTCCAGTCTGGCTATGAAAGTGATGGTGACTTGATACCCTGAGTTTGTTTCCTTGCAAACTTTCCTATGGTGTTATCACTCTGGAGGCAAAGTGATTTTCTCAGGCTTCAATATAACCCCGTTATGTCCTGCACGTGCCCTTCGAGGAGGTGTCTCTCTCAGACACCTTGCCCAGAGGGGACAAATGACATGTACGCTTTGGCACTTCAGGCACAGTTGTGTGTGAATCAGGTTTGGTAGATTTCTTCAGCTGAACGTGGCTGTTTGTTTGGTGCACGTTCTTGTGTGTTACTGACTGCTTTAGACACAGGTATGTTATGGACTGCTTTAGGCACGGCTGTACTACTGCCTGCTTTTGTTCTGAACACATTCTTCTGTTATATGTCACTGACTGCTTTTGTTCTGGGCACATGCTTTTGTTGTGTTTTACTGACTGCTTTTGTTCTGCACACATTCTTTTGTTGTATGTTACTGACTGCTTTTGTTCTGGGCACATGCTTTTGTTGTGTGTCACTGACTGCTTTTGCTCTGCCCACATGCTTTTGTTGTGCTTTACTGACTGGTTTTGTTCTGCACACATGCTTTTCTGTGTCACTGACTGCTTTTGTTCTGGGCACATGCTTTTGTTGTGTGTCACTGACTGCTTTAGACACAGGAACTTCAGCCTTAACATGAGCTCCAGTTTGATGGTGAAGGGGCTCTGCAGCCTTTGGCTTTCTATCAGTACCGGTAACATTACGTTTACGTCGTTTTACTTTCTGCTTTTTCTCTTCTTTTGGTTTTTCTTCAGAAATGCTATCTAGTAGTCCTTTTTCTGCAGCATAAGCCAAAATGTCTTTAGCAGGCACTTTTTTAGAAGAATATTTCTGAAAATTTCAAAGGAAACAACAATGAATCTAAGTCACAACACAGAGCTGCTCAGAATTTACTCCATGAGAAAACTGTGGCAGAGTCTAGCAGAAGGATTTAAGTCACATATGATAAATGCTAACCAAACTATTTATTCATGAAATTAAGAACATGACTGTTGTGTAAAGAGTATCAGAGCATTTGCTTCTCAGAAACTTTGTTCTCTACTCCTCTTTGTTCTCTCCCCCAAAGAGGGGAAGCTCAGTTCCAGCCTGCATGTCTGACTTGTGGTTTAACCCCAACCAGCAACCAAGCTCGCTCATCCCCCACCAGTAGGGTCAGGGAGACAATCAGAAGGGTAAAAGCCAGAAAACTCATGGGTTCATAAGACAGGGGTTACTTGGGAAGACAAGTGCCATCACTCCAAATGTCCCCAGTTCCTCCTTCTTCCCCCCACCTTATATACTGATCGTGATGTCATATGGTATGGGATATGCCTTTGGTCAGTTGGGGTCACCTGTCCTGGCTGTGTCTCCTCCCAGTTTCCCAAGGACCCCCAGCCTCCTCACCAGCGTGGCAGTATGAAAAGCAGAGGTGGCCTTGGCTCTGTGTAAGCCCTGCTCAGCAATAACAGAAACATCTCTGTATTATCAACCCTGTGTTCAGCACCAATGCAAAGCACAGCCCCACACCAGCCATTGGGAAGAAAATTAACCCTACCCCAGCCAAAGCCAGCACACTCCCACACTGACCTGCTCTGTGATGTGTCTGTAATAACATGCATATACATTACACGTGTGTGTGTGTGTGTGTGTATCAGGAGTAGTTACTAAAATACAGAAATGTTATCAGTAACATTAAACATGAATAATTTTCCCTATAATGAAAATCTTCCCTCATAATACAGAAGTAAGGAATTCTCAGACTAGATTAAGTAGGAACCAGCTCAGCATCCAAGCATATAGAGAAAAAATAGGGAAGAAACTACTTAGAACTAGCTAAGAAGAGGGTTTCTGTAAACCAGAAATTTCAGTTTAAATTGTAAGTACATGTTTTCTGCTTCATGGAGAATGATCATTTCCCAAATAACCTAAAAATTGGCCATAGAAGCAATTGCTTCTGTCCATTAGAATTTGACAAAAATTTGACAAAAATTATTCAAATTAACTACCTGAAACAAAAGTACTTGTTTCTCTAGAGGGATACAATATGGTAAACAGATGTACATAGCATGATTAACTAAGGAGCTAGGTTAAAAATATTTTCTATTGAAAAGAAGAAGGTCAATAATAGGTAAATTAAAGGCTTTTCATATGTGATTCTCTTACTCTTAATAAAATCTTCTCTTCTAGTTTCCCCTAAGAGACAAGCTTCTCTCAAGCACTGTGATCACAGTATGACAGAAAGTAGCACAAATGACCAAATAAGATCTTCTATCATAAATTTGCAAGGAAATTCTAATGAGCTGCTCCCCCCCAACCCCACCCCTTCCTCTTTTGGTTAAAAAACTCTTGCTTTTCTCAGACACAAGGGGAGAATGTTGATGCTCAGAGATGCAAACTAGCCCTTTAAGGCCTTTCCTCAGGAACTGTGCCAACATTTTTCCATTTACTCAGCAAAAGCACCCTGCCTTTCAAGCCAGATTTGCATATGCCTTAGTTTGGGAAGGAAACATATTCATACCTATTTCACTCAAATTATAATAGTGTCACCCATAGGGTTTAAGAGTTTGTCTGCTTGGACACTGCAAAATCCTGGTGACACATATAAAAAAATAACTTTACTAGACACCATTTATCATGAGTCTAATCAACCTATGTATTTCATTCCAAGGTATGACAACAATATATTTCCTCTTGATGTTGCTGGCACTGACTTGGATCATGGGCCTGCTCTGACCAGGAACAGCTCCAGAACAACAGGCACATGTTGGAAAACTGCGCTCAGCATAAAATTCTAGAAGTGGCACATTTCAACTGCTCCCTATCCTTTGGTCTTAAGACAACTAAAGAGCATCCAGGAATTTTATTTCAAATGTTCAATTTCATTCATTCTTTTGTGGAAAATTGCAGTAGTCATCTTCTGTGAAGTGATTTTAAATGGTAACTTCCTCAGCTTACCTCTCTTTCTAGAACAGCTACAAAACAGCCACTGGAAATTTCTGATGGCTCCATTTTGAAAAAAATTTCAGTGGAAGCCTCTGAATTGGAGCAAGTAGAAAAAACGGGAGGAATAAGCCTGTAAAAAATAAACAAAATACCAGAAAATCATATTTAAGGATATAAAAGGAAATAAACAAGGATGCATTAAAAGTAATTTCCAAATATGCCTTTCAATGACATAGCTTTATCTTAATTTTAAACAACTGCAATTCAGGAAAGGCATAAGAATTCATCTTTTTAGAAACAATGGGGGTCTTTCCATTTTTTTCAATAATTCCCATTTTTTCCAATTAATGATATTAACCACCAGATAATAAATATGTATTAATATAATGAAAAACTTTATTCTTTCTCAGGTCTGCAATTACTGGATTATCAAGTTGTCCATGAAGTTGGGGAATGACCTGAAAACACTAAGCAGCTCAGAAATTGCAGAGATATTGACTTTGAGTTAATAGTATATGCTCATAATAAATAATATATCTAAGCTAAAAACCTTAGGTTAGCAAAATTTGCTAACCTAAAAATATTTTTAATAATTGAGTGATGTTTTTCCAGTTTTCCAGTTTTGCAGTGCATCACTGGGGAAGAAAGAACTAGCCTTTTCTCATGTTTTCCTTGTATTCCAGGAACGCCAAGCTGTTATAAAGAGGCCCCAGGGACTTGGCTCATAAGGCTGCTAAACTAGTACTAAGAGGTCTCAGTATGGAAAAACACTCTCAAAATGTCTTTTTGCAATTATAACCCACTTCCTTTTCACATCGCTGAGGAATATAAGATAGAGCCCCTCCTCAGTGCTCCATTAATCCTCTTGAGAGAGAGCTTTATTCAAAGATGGTTATGGAGAAATGCATATAATATTTGTAAGCAATATCCTGATTTGGCTGGCTAGTTCATTTCTAATGGGAAGTCTGCAAAACTGTTTCTAAGTTTCTACCATAATTTGGCTTTTTTTCTACATGCCTTTGAACTTGATAAAACAGACTACAAGGCTCCCATCCTCCTCACATTATATGTCCTGTGACACAGGAGATTTTTCATTTTACACCAGCTCACTCAATTAAAAAAAAAAAGTGATTAATTTTTATTGATTAACAAATTACTGTTAGCAGGAATCCCTTCAATGGATGGTCTGACCCTGAAAAATGATGCAGAAATTAACTCAATTTTGATACGCCAAAGAGAAATGCATGAGTGGTTTAGATTCCTCTCTAAACACACCTGTTCACAATGTGTACCCTTACTTAAGGTGAAGCCTTTGCTATAAACTGTCATATCCTTAAGGTAAACTCAGCTTAGCCTGTGGGTACATGTTTAAAATCACCCTTACAAGTGCACAGCCCTAAGACCAGCTGTATGATCCCAAACTCCAGCAGAGCCTTAATTTGTTCAGCACTACTCCAGTACTGCAGAGTAATTCCAAAAGATATAATGCACATAAGCACAACTGGTGTAAAAGTTTCTTGAAAACCCTCAATTTTATTGGAAAAGGAAAATAATATTAAGTAGACCTGTGATGATCATACAGGATGTTTTATTAGTGTAACTTCCCTCTCAAAGACACTACTGTAAACACTGGGGCTAGTAATTCTGCAACAGTTTTTTTCATTCTATACTGCATTGTTTTATACTGCATTGTTTCAAGTAGGTTCTCTAATTAATTCTAAGGAAAGTGTAAAAGAAATTGTTGTAATACATGCATCTCAAATGGCTTGAGCCATATAAGACATCTTAAGACAAGCATAATCACACTATACATTTTATTTACGGTGTTCTATTACTGCTGGTTACCAGCAACTTTACTGTAGTGAGAACTGTGCATGAAAACATCCAAGATACTGCATAACAGTGCAGGAGAAACCAATTCTGAAATTGTTATTTATGGAGCTCAATCAGTCTTCAGTCACAAATTAGCTCAAGTCTACCAAAATCCTAATGTAATTTTATTGTCCCTTTCTGACCATCTGAGATGGCCTTGTATTTGGAAGTAAAAGTATAATTTGGTGGTTTGACAAGTTTCATGATGTTTCTGCAAAACACTGAACAGATTTTGGTTTGGCTTTGAGGGAAGGGGAGGTGTTTTACACAAGGGGGAATTTTTTCTAAAATAATTAAAGTTCTGAGAACTTTTTAATACAAATTCCATTATATGTGTTACGAATGTATGTATTATTTGTGTTCAACTACTTTGGAGACCATTACATTCCAAGGTTCCCTGAGTTCTCCCCATAGCGTAATAGCTGCATAAAGATCAAGACATGACAGAGTCCACAAAATTTCAAATTCCAAAGGAAAACACAGTTTACAGCAAGAGCCATAGATGCTTTTGGACTAGCATACCATCACTGGCAAGACAAGCCCTGATTTCATCCCACTTAATGTAAAAATTCAACCAGGCTAATTCAATTATCAGTGAATTGCAAAAAAGATGCATTTTGTTGCACTATGTCTTAACCTTATGAATAATATATAACTTTTCAAAATTCTTCGGACTGGCCACAGTTAACATTTACCATTTTAATCATGCAAAATTTAATTACACTGAATATCTTGAGCCACAGTACCTTTCCCTGCGATAGCCAGCATATTAACATCATCTAAGGTAATATAAAATCTAAAAATATGGTACTACTCTTCTGTGCTTTTGGCAACATACACTCTCTTAACCTGCATCTCGTAATCATCTATTGTATCTATGTGCAAGTGAGTGCCAACTGTTTGCATTTATCTATTGTGACTGAAAGGAAAATTCAGAAAGTACTCACCAGCCTTCTAACGATTTCTCTGTCTGACAGGGGTGACAGCTGACAGGTTTTAACTACATATAAAGTATACATAACACATACTTTTTTCATATATACTTGTATTTGTTATGATTGCACAGGATGATCTCTTACTGTAACCCATCCTCCCCACAAGTCATTCATCTGAATACAGGGATGAGCAATCCTACAGCTAGTGTTCTTATTCTTCTATATTATTCTCACAATTTAAGATTTAACTCCTTTTTCCTTCGAAACTGATCATTCTAGGTCAGAAGCTGAAAGCATGCTAGCAAGTTCCCTGACTTCTAGTCTCCATTTTATCTTAAACTAGCTTCATTCTCTGAATACTGATAGGATAAAAGCAATAGCTCCATCAGAAGAGTGTTATTTCCAACCAGTGATGGTTTCCTCCCATCTCAGTTTCAGGTGAACAAAACTATTAGATGAATAAGTCAATAGAATACTGCTAAGTACTCTCATAAACATCAGAAAAAATGGCATGACAGGCAGCAAAAACTATTGTAAATATTAATTTAATGCAAGACACATACCAGTCTGGGAGATAAGAATTATGCTATAATTTAAAGTTATACTTTAATTTTTCCATAGATAAAACTACTCATTCCATACCTATATGGTTGTTCTTTATCTCCTTCCACTCCAGATTCCAGTGCTTTTTTCACTACTAGTTCATTTTCTTGTGGGTAAACTGAACAAGTGCAGTAAACAATAGCTTGTACTTTGTTAACTACAAAACAAAACAAATTTTCTACTGTTCAGATTCTTCATACAGACAGTGGCTTGGTAAGGACTGAAAACATCACAAAAATTATGCTTGGATGTCACTTTTACCAATAAGAATATCCTCCTGCACACATTAGTATGCAAACTCTAATGGTTTTTAATAATTAAAATGTTAAATATTTGCAGATCACAGCACAAATTCAAAGCTGTATCTATCTTTTCACACAGCTACAAAAGGAGAGGGGAGGGAAGTGGCAGCATGCAGATGGAGTCTGACTACATTTGCAGCATTTCCAAATCAGAGTATGACTAAGTCACAAGCCAGTTCTATACACAATGCTGAAGTCTGGTGAACACTAGGACACAGAGACACCTTCAGATTGGAGGCGATCATTATTCAGGGGTTTTGGTTACATGCTTATTGTTAATTAATAGAGTAATCCATGTATTTTTAACAATGTAAAAACTGGTGATAGTACAACGGAATCGATAGTACGAGGTCCTCCCAGAAACTGGAGAACTAGCACACTTACATTTCAGTGCATGAATCAACTCGTTAAGCTGCCTCTCAGCAAGAATACCAAGTTTATCCTCAGACACAAATCCCTGGAAAAGGTCTCGTAGCAACCCTGCATCTAAAAGTAGAGAGTTGTAAATTTAGTATTGCAACTTAGTGTCTTAAAATTCAGTTGTTTGCAGAAACAGACGTGGTTGTTACTAATGCAGTTAGAAGGTAGGTTTTACAAATTAGAATACCAAGAAGTGCCTAATTTATTTGTTTTCCTTCTTTACCTGTAATTACTGGTGCCTCTTATTTGCTTCTATTTAATGAAAATTGTACAGTGAACAGACTTATACAAACAGTCAATAAAGGAATGTAAGCAAATGGAAAATAATATACATATTGGTATATTGAAATAAATTTTCTGCCTATAGTCTTTTTACTTTAAAAAAAATATATACATTCTGCTCCCCAGAATAACCCTCAAACTTCATACTACCAACTTGAATCAGACAGAGAATTATGCAAGTTAATATATATGTTTTATAGTAATTAAAATAAGGGTTTTTAAATAAAATGATACAATTTACTGAAGTACCTACACAGCTCTTCTGTATCAAAAGTTACCTCTGTGTTCACTTAAAATAAACTCCATTGGATTGCCAACACCCAGTCCAGAGCATTGTGGTAGCAGCAAAATAACTTTTGCCTTTTGAAGTCTTCGGTCTGTTGGTTCAAGCTCAGTAAAGTCTTCATGCAACAACCGAATATCTGCAAAATAAAGGAAGAACTCAACAGTTATGCATTGCAAGCAAGCCTACCTACAGGTGATACAAGTGAAGAGACTGTGCTGTTACATAGATTTCTACAGAGCTAGAGCCTGCTAGACCCAGATCCTCCAAATTATAACCTGTGGATTTCAAATGGATTGAAAGGCTAACTAGACCTGCATCTTCCACTGAAAAGACAGCTGATGGGGTTGCAGGGTCTTGTTGCATTCTGTTCTGATTGTGTCCTCTGCATCAACTGGACAAGTACATGTGTTTTGAATTAACACTCAAACAGCCGGAAATCAGACTGAAAGCAACAGCCAAAGTACCAAATAAATGGACCCAAAAGTTCCCAGCCACCAGCTACACCAACTGCTATACAGTAAGTACTTCTATGGAAAAATTCATCTTGACATTTCAGGAGCTTCCATGTATAACACGGTTAATCTGCGACCTTCAATTAACTTGACTGTAGCTGAAGAGCTGTCAGCACACCTTGTGACAAAAAAAAAAGTTGTTACTGCCCTCGCCAAGTCTTCAAAGAAGAGATCTCTGAATTCTGATAGAATTATGCTGTATTTATAGATATCACAAACATCTGTATTACAATACTTTTTGCATACCAACTGTTTCAGCACCTACTTTCACATCCCATATGACTGAAAATATTCCTCAGTTCTTCTTCTTTTGCTGAAGATTTCACACCACAAACGAAAATTGTGGACATGCCATGATTTGTCAGCACTGACATATGGGCAATGGTCAGATAGGAACCTGTGTGAGCCACTATAATGTCGTCACCTGCATTCAGCAGCGCCTGTGCAGAGTGTACTGCAAGGCTGCGAGACTTATCCTAGAAAACAATGACACAAAAATTAAGTACAACCATCTATTTTGGTTTCTATGAATGCCAACCTTCTTTTCCAAATTAGCAAAGTATTTGTTTTCATAGGAAATGGGAAAGAAGGGAGGAAAAAACTAACCAGAGATAGCTCCTAACACAGAATTAAATGAAGTACAAATCCGAACAGTCACTCAATAAATTTAAATAACTTAATTCTAAATAATACATTTAAAAAGCATAATATCTCTATAGGTGAAAAGAGAGAATGCATATCATCCCCATGAGGGATGAAGAACTCCTAACAACAGCCAGAAAAGAACAAACATAGGCCACAATTCAGAACAGGCAGAATTAAGACAGAAATGCAAAACTATTCACATAGCTCTTGACAATCATTACAGGAGAAATGAAGTCCTTACAGATCAAAGATCAAAATTTTGCTGAAATCTGAACAACACAGAGCCAGATTGGAATGCAGAAAACACAGGGACCATTCAAAAGGAGTCAATGGCCTCATACCAGTGGTGATTAAGAAAAATCATCTCCATCAAATTACTTAAAAAGGCAAGGAGTAAAGATACTGACCACAGGTACAAGGTCTTGCACCAAATCTGACAAACACTGATAACAAATGGAAAGGCAGGAAAACACCGCTAAGCCTTTAAGTTCACGTCATTGTCTATGTACTCACAGCATTCAAGCACCACCCTTCCCACCAAAGAGACAGAGGTTTTGAGAGTTTTCTTTCCTCATTTTGAATACTTTTAAGTAGTAGTACTCAGAATTTGTTCCCATCACCTATGGGGCTCTCATGTATTGTCCTTTTCTGTAAATCTTCTATTAAAAATATGCACACTGAAATTGAATATTGAATAGTGAATCACTATTTAAGTCAGGCAATAAATTTTGAGGCTCAAGTTTCCCGACAATGCTAAGCATCTAGTGAAAAGGTCCATTGAAATGTTTCTGCTAGGCACTCAAAATCATCAGATAGTTCAGATAACTCGTGGTTGTGTGTTGTTGCACAGTTACTCCAAACCACTGCTCTACAACAGGAACTTCCAACCAACCTTGTCTGGGGAGTCTAATGACAGTAAGTCAGGAAAAAGACCAGTGAGGTTTATGGAGATCTAGGAACCACACTGCACAACATACAAAGAAGTGTGATCATTCCATCCCAAACATGCAGTTGAAGAGGAAGAAATACTACAATAGCACACCAATACCTACTAACTGGGGGAAAGCACATAGAGATACATCAAAACTTTCCTCACATTTTTTAGAAGTGAGACTGCCTCTTTGATCACTTTTTATATTTAATGTCAAGAGTTTTAAGATTAAATTTAAAACATTCTACTAACCTAATTGTACCTATCAATTATAAGCATTGACATTTGCATGCTAAATTTAGTAAGTGAATGAGTTTGTAACCTTCTAATTACCAAAAATAACCAAAACCTTAGGAGACTATGTTGCTGCCTGACTGATTTAATAGGATGGTCACACAATACACGACCTCATTCTAATGCAAAGCAATTACTTCAGTTTGCAGATCATCTGACTCAAGGGTGACATCAACTCACCTGCAGTAAGAGTTTGCAATCTGCAAAAAGATCTAAATTAAGCAATTCTTCTTTAAGAGAGGAAGGAAAAACCAATACATCGTGGCAATGTTGGTCCATGGCATACGTATAATGGTCAAAGTCTGACACAGATTCAACCTTTGTGAGTCCCTTCGTCTCCAAATCTCTGATAACATCTTCAAGGCTGTTAACATACAACTCTGACCATTAAATATGCAAGAGTTACTTAAGCAATATAGTTTACATTGATAATATGAATTTTTTACTTCTGTTAGTGTGTGCATACGTACGCATACATACATAGGTACAGAATGCCATACTGCCTGTAGGAGGGGAACTTACCATATTTTAGGTATATAAGTTCTGGTTTGAAACAATTAAGTTAATAAGTCTGATAAAATAAATTAAGAAAGATGTACGTGTCTCCAGAGAATGATTCAAAGCATCAAAACAGAAATGTCCATGTGCTCAGGACACACTGTAGTAAATTTACTGCTGGAATGCTTTAGTTCTTTCAATTGCTTTCAATTTAGCCCAACTCACCAATGATTTTAATGGCTGATAACTGAAAGAATCCTTGTGTAAATGTAATGAAGGCATAACTGCTGAGGTTAGCAATTCAAATATTATAAAGATTTAAAGGTATATGTAGCAACACTTGTTTGTTGAACAGTGCCATAGCCTTATATGGTACATTAAATGTGGGATGAATGCAGCAGCTTTTAGTCCAGTCTTATTTAAGGGCTGCAAAGTCACAAACAGAGTAAGACACATTATCTTCTAAGCACCAAACATTGGTCCAAGACCAGAGTAGAAAAACAAAATTCTTGAAAACATTATAAAATGGATTACCTGTCTAACAAAACAGATAACAGGATAACTTGGTATGGTTCATGTATCAGTTAGTACAGAACTGGGAAGACCAGTTATAGTGATGTATAGACTATATAAAGTAGTCTACAGAATATAAGAATTTTTAAAAGTGTGTTTTTATTTCAAGTTTACACCATCCTTACAGAATAAACACCAGTTTAAGTATTGTATCTGTCTCAACACCCTTTGCCAAGATTATGGCTTACAGTAATACATCCACTTTTAAAGATGTTTCCTCTATCTTCTGTCATCAAGTTTACTCATCCATATTTTTTTTAACTTTATTTCCTTGTTTTTTTTGGTTAAAGACCCACACAGGCAACAAAATAGTAAGAAAAACTGTTTCACAACGTTGTTACAGGGTATGAATACCATTACTGCAATATATAAAAACTACAAGCAAACATAACACAATGGAACTGGACTAATCAGAATTTCCTGTAAGAATTTTAAATTACTGGTAAAAATATAACCTGAGAATTCTAAAACAAGCACGGAGCAACCTATATCACTTCATATATAAAACATCAATACCAAATGATACTTTGAAGTCCTTACCTTATTTTAAATGTGTTTATCCAAACATAGAAAGGTAAAGCAGAAACTCTTTGTTCCTGCTTCCATATGGTTTCTGGTACAAAGTGTTCAATTGAAAGAGCATCGTATTTAATGCGACATCGTGCCAGTGCAGCTGCTGCTTTGGTCCTACGACTGCAAAAACATAGTCATAAGTTTAAGAAGAACATTTCCTATCCTAGACAATGGTAGATGCAAGGTAGTAGTCCACAGCTAAGATTATTTCATTTAAATGCAGGTGGGACTGGAATTATGACAGGTGACTCTCAAATACATTCACTTTCTCAAACAGCTTAAAAAACCCCAACCCAATATATTTTGGAACTTCCACCTGTGGAATACAATCATGAGATTCATTCAAATGTTTGAAAATGTAAATACATACATGTGCAAAATGAGCATTTGATGAAAGCTGACCTGTTGTACAGAAACAACACCAACACAAGTATGATGGCAACCAGGAGTCAGAGAAAATATGCCCAGTCTTTTCTCCCCACAAGCTCTTGATACATGATAATGCACAGCAAATAAAAATTGTTGGTGAACTACTTCAGATATATTACTTACTGCCCTCCAGCAATACCTTGCACTTAAGATATCCATGAACGTTTTGGGCTACTCTAAATCCAGCAACGGCACAATTTTGTCTAATAAATGCCTTTAGAGTTCCTCATCTGACTAACAAAACAATAAATATAAAAATGTTTATTTTACATACCCTCTTTTTTGTTCTAATTTTTAAAAATAATAAATATTTAACAAAGTTCCATAATAGAAGTACTGCTAAATAGATGCATGTTATTCCATTCCATGACCTCTTGATTCTATTACACTCATATTTATGAACATTTACTGAATATTTAATTTCTCTCCTAAAATTGTATGATAAAAGTTTCAACAATGCCAAAATACGCCAAGATGCTAGTAAAATAATCCATAATATAAGGATGGTTTGTTAGCTGTATTTTTCTTAACTATATAAATATGAAAGTTTCCCTTCAAACTAGGCTCTCATTAAAAATTTATAAAGGCCACAAGATTTGAAAATAAAAAACCTGCTTAATAACTATTATTAAAAGGTACTGGTTATACAAATCTGCATTTTTGCTAATATATATCAACAAAAAAAGCTCTTTGCACATATACCTATATAAATAATGCCCTATTTCCTGAACTTCTTCTACAGGTTCCTCTTCATCAAAAATCTTTCGTGCTTCAAACTTTCGGTCTTGTAGGTCATAAAGCATCACAACAAGCAAGCTGGTTAACTCATCCGGCTGCAACAGAAACGCATCTGGATAGCAAAAGTGACACAAAGTGTACCTTACTTCTGCAAAAAGATCCATATCAAACAGCATTCTCCTGTGTAAGAGGCATTAAAATCTCCAGTGAAATGCTTATTTGCAAGAATACAAAAGTAATTCCTTATGGAGAGCTAATAAAACATGAAGATTGTGGTTTTTTAAAACTCAAAATACACATTTTGTAAGTTATTTAGCTTATCAAAATTAAAAACATTCTCCAAACACAGATAAAACACTACATCTTAACAACTTCTAATGTTATCAGCATTGAACCATTGAAATTGTTTTCTCCTTGTTAAGGAATTGAATAGCAAAGCTAACAAAAACTTCTTGTCTAAATTCATCTCTTGTGGGATTCTTCTGTATGTAGTAACCCATAAGCTCAATTGTAATAACTGTTCTGCTGTTGGGATTTATGTAAAATCTCCTTTCCATGTCTAAATTTTTACACCAGGGAGCATCACTGCTTAAGGACAATAATTAACAGCACTTCTGTTACTATTGTCTACCTCTTTCCATGAAATTCCTACAGTTATTATGCCTTCTAAGATGCTCAACTTCTCACAAATATGACCAAAATTAGTTAGAAAACTCAAGTTATCAGGGAAATACCACCAAACACAGAATGTTAGCATGTAAGTCTTACTTCCTTACAAAAACAAGCAAAAGATAAATGTGTTGGATCATTTGCCTGCTCACATCAATCTCCACAAATAACATCAGTTTAAGTTCATCTTGCAATTTGCATAGCCATCAAAGACTAAACTGGAAGGAACAGCAAATTACTCTGTAAGGTCTAGAATTTCTTTTCACATCAAAGCAGGAAAGTATGTTCAGAGAGTAGCCTGGACCAATTTTTGCCAGTACAATATTTGTATACAGTATGGTTTGCCCAGGAAATGAAATGTGGGTTCAATGCATTTTTTTTTTGTCTGTTGGGATTCTCTCCATGGTTTCTAATTCCCAAGGACAGGAAGGATACATGATTTTTTTTCCCTGCTCACAAGGGGACACAGATGGAAAGGAAAGCACATGGACAATCTGACTGAGCAAGTACTACCCTGCAGTAAAGATTACAGCTCTCTCTCCCACCTTCTTTCTTTGAAGGTTTTGATTCCCTTCAAAAGATTGTACGGTGCAACAGAATCTCACAAACAACATACCTAGTACTCTGGAGACAGAGGCTTTGGACAACTATCTAAAACGGTCAGCAATATTTCAGTCTGAGGCTGTCATATAGTTCAAAACAACAAAGGCTGCTTTGAAGAGTGTTGCAGAATCCTCAGAAAAGATTCTAATAACATCAATGTAGAAAATATAAAATTTATTTCCTCACAACAACATTCACTTACTATTGACTGGCATGGGTAAACACCACTATCTAACAATATTTCTTCAAGAAGATCTTGATCTGCAAAAAAAAGAAAATGTTGACAAGTTATGCTATGAAATCTACAAAATTCTAGGGAAGAAAAAGAAAACCTGATAAATCACTAAATTGTAAGTTTAAAACATCATGAAAATTAAGGGTAAATTCAATCATAGAATCAAAGAATAGCAACTTTATATAATTCCTTTACATGAAAATGTATAGGGTTTAAATGTTTGATTTCACAAAAGGCTAATAACACTTAGCTATATTTAACTATTTGAGGCATATGAGTCGTCTTGTAATAACCTGCAGTTTAACAAAGAATTCCTCAGATCTCTGCTGTCAGAGATCAACATGTTGCTTTCCTGTGTTTTCCCTGCTGCATCATTTCTGTTGGCAATTGTTGGAAAAGTTTTGTACTTACATTTTAGAGCACTGAAAGCCAGTTCATAAGATACACGCCTGGAATGCTCATCTTTAAAAGCTAGCACGGGAGATTCCGAGTTATCGCCGTACCGCACTAGCATTTTATCCTTACTCTTTTCAGTACGAATGCCTTGAAAAATCTTAGCTGCATTCATGTATACGGAGTCGGGATAGCCATCCTTCTCAATTAGAGTCACTGTTCTTTTTGCAACGGATCCTTTTTCATCTGAAATTTTAATTTCACTCAAGTCTGACGTATCATTTATAACATCCTCATGTGAAGATACCAAGTTACTTTTAGAACCTGGCATTTTTCCAGTTGCTGACTGTGTAAGTGCAAGTCACAGTCCTGCTGCCTCTGCAAAAAAAAAAGTTTGCACTGAATCATGAAATTTTCTTTTGCTAGAATAAACTCTTCCCTTCATTTTCAGGTTTTCAATAAAACTTATTTTCTTTTTTAGGCACTAATGCTGCAAAAACATGTATCACCTATACTTGTATACATCTATCATCTTACAGTATACAGAGAAGTATTTATAAGTTTTCTTACCTTATTTGTTTTCACCAATGCCAGTGCAAAGACTGTTGTTTGTTTCAAAGAAGTCAGTGCTTTACAATAAATGATCCTAAACAGACTGTACAGGGAGATCTGATTCTCTGTGTCTAATAAGAAGCATTAGTATTGTGGACAGAATAGAATCTCTTACTAGGAATTCTCCTTTAAGAAAAAAGACACCACTGAAATTTCAAAGCAGACATCATATCTTCCAAAGAAAAACCATCTTGAAAAGAGTAGCAGTGAATTCCAAATGTTTGTCCACTAACTTGCACATCTGTTCTTAAAAGCGGAAAAGAGAGATCACCTAAGTGTTACATATTTAACACAATACCTAAACAGCAGAATTTTAAATGCAGGAAATCCATTCTGAGAGTTTCTGAAGGTATTATCCAACTCTCCATAATCCCATGTGCATTTCTTAAATTCTCTACACATCCTACGTAAACAATAAAATAAAAACTACCTTCCCCAGAGATGGAATGGAGTTTCAAGAAAAAGAAAAATAAAAAGGCCCAGTGTTAGCTGAATGCAGAAATATGCTAAAGTCCCACGTAAAACACACCTAAAGTATTGGATTTACTCTACTTGCTCTGGTTGTTATAACATGCTTTTATGATAACACTGGAAGGTGTTCAGAAGAAGGCTAAGCCAGAACAAATTTAAAGATAGAATTAATATTTATTTTTTTTTAAATACAAACCAGTCTTAACGTCTGGGGAAGAATAATACAAGAGAACTGTGAGGAACTTAGCAGCTTTAATACAGAAAGTACAGAAAGTCAGGCATGGATCTGGTGCTGATAAATATTTTAGAACTAACAGCACAAAACAGCAGAATTTGGGGGTTTTGCCAGTCTGGAAAAAAAAAAAAAAAAAAAGAAAAGAAAAAAGGTGATACTCTGATCAAACTGAAAGGATCTTCTTTTTGCTACATAATTTAGTTCAGCAGCATTCTCGAGCTTTTTCCCTGCACTCCCCAACACCCCTCAGGGTAAAATACATACTTCTCAGGCCAGACATACTTGCTCAGCACACTTTTTTTTCCTCTTCCCTTTCCTGCTCACCATCACAATAAACCATAGTGGCAACACTGGATGGCAGCACAGAGTTGGAGGGGAAAGAAGGAATGCAAGTTGTTGCTTTTCCAGCAGGCAGCCATGAAATGCCTCATACTGAGCCAGCACTCCTCCATTCGAACTCCCTTTCCCGAACATTGGTGACACTCAGCCCATTTCTCCCCTCTCCAAGACCAGCACAAGTCAGTGTCCAACCAGCCCAGCATGCTCCAGACAATGGACCAGTGTTCCTTCCTGAATTCTGGCAGCTCACCTGGAGGAGGCCACATCTCATTCTCCTTCCCCAGGATTTGCTCTCCAAAACTAAGAACTGCTAACACTATCAAAGCAATTATTCCCATTTCTTTACAAAGGCTTCAGGCAAATAGTTTCCTCTGGTGGGAGCTTAGCTCCAACATCTCTAGTGTTAGATGCAGCACTGATGAATCCATGGAGCAAACATAAATTAATTGTATGAAGCTATATTGAAACAGAACAAGCAGTGTTATCAAAAAAACCCACTATTCTTCACTAGAATAAAGTACCAGATTACCTAAACCAAACAGAAACTCTTGTGCTTAGAAAAGAAAAAAATCATAAATACTTTCAGGGTCTTTTAAACTAATTTCACCAGCAAACTTGTATACGACTTCACAGAAACATGGACACCATCTAACAGGGACCTGGAACTCGAACCCCTTCTCCAGGTGAACATAAATATTCCTGTTTAGAATATGTAGCAAGTGAACTATGTCTGTGGTGTCAGGACTTTGAAGACTTGAAGAGTTTCCAATTACTCTTTGTGACTTCTTTGCCACAGCCGATTTTGCCGAGCCACAAGATGCACTGATATTAGGATGATGTGATGAATATACTTTTCCAAAAGATAAATGTCACCCTAACAAAGATGAGATGACAGTGTTCCACCCTGTGCAGATACACTCAGGAATATACACTGCACAGCTGCAACACTGTAAATCACTGCCTGGATTACTGAACACTGTGCCAAGCAGAGTACACCAAGCGTGATTAATATGAAGCTCAGCTAGGAAGAAGAGCTTCCCAGAGAAAAGAGAAAAGATCCTGCCTTTCTTTGTGGAAGAAATGAGTTGGATCTCAAGCAGATTATGCAGCTGATGGGGAAAAAACCTTTAAAGGTCCCAAGGAAGCTATCACACTACTAAAACAGAATGGCCTTCAAAGTTCAGAAGTATTTCTTTTTCACTGTTTACTTAAGAAATTTTTCAAATGAAACATGAATCTCTTGTGTTACGGGGTCACTAAAGCAGATGGAGATATAATGTGAAGACAGAAAAACATAAAGTAAAAGTTTATAATATTCCTGAGTCATACACACACTAAATCAACCTTATTTGGACCCAAATCCAGCATCTCTCCATACAGTCTTAGCACACTGATTCCATGTTAAAAATACGTACATACTCTCTGTGATCTGGCTAACTAGAGGTGTTGTGGCAATAAAGTTTCCAAGTTCCTGCCAATGTACTTCCATACTGTTTTCCTTAAGCTTGATGAAATTTACAAGTTAGAGTAATAACAGGGTATGCAAAAGAAGGGAACTTAAAGACATCCATGACTAAGATTTAGGCAACAGCTACTGGGCAGCTGTTCTCCATGACACCTAGAGTTCCTGCGGTAAACAGCACCTATTTCAGGACGATACTGGTTGTGAAAGCACAGAAAATAGACAAGAAAGTTCTCCCCGCTCCTGCTTCCAAGTCACAATCCACTAAACTCATGACAATGATCAGGACTACTCACTGTTAAGCACAACAGTTCAACAAGCACTACCAGTAGCATCCCAAGGAAAAAGGGGTGCTTCTTTCTTACCTTATCTGTGCAAAGGGATGTACAAAACTCTCTTCCAAAAATACCTGTAATTACAGATGCAGACAAACTCCCATAACACAAGTTACTGTATCCACATACAAACAATAGCAATAAAGATAAGAAGACTGCAGATTTCAAATAGCAGAGTGCGAACTAAGGGTGAGACTGGGAATCTAAATTGGACTATACTGCTTTACAGTCAGGCAGTGTGAGGTACGAAGCCTGGAGGCATTCACATTTCTTCCTATCTTTTTTACACCCAAAGATTGAGCGGAGCTCTCAGCTGCTCAGATAGGCCCTGTGTTTGAAGCATTCAACACATCTAAGACTAAGCCCACAGGAAATCCACTGGAAGAGCACCTGAAGAGAACATGGGTGAGAGAGAACAAAGACTTTATGCTCATGCTCTGAGAAAGCTCTTGAACAAGATGTTTTAGTTAACCTTTTTCTCACTCCCTGGACATGGCTCCTCACACACCAACAAACAGTAAATCCTTGACAGCCATATATATACACGGTAGGTTTTGTCTTACTAACTCTATGGGTACACATGACCCCATAAATTTCCTAACATCAACTGCAACTGTCTGACACAGAACTCCAAAGCCTCTGCTCTCCCCAGCTACAGTCAACTAATCTGGAGGGGACGGGAGATTAGTTAGTCAGGAAAAGAAGTCAGCCATGAGACCATTTCCCAGCTCCGCTTTACTTAGGAGAAACAGCTCAAGTCGACTCACAGGACAGATATCCAGCAGCTGAAAAAAGAAGAAAAAAAAAAGGGGGGGGGGAGGGGGGAGGGGGAAGGAAAGCTACTTCTTTGTATAAACAGGCAAAACGTTCCGAGATTGCCTTCCCTGGGCCGGGACCTCGGGGCTCGTACCCGGCCAGGCCGCTCCGCCCGCGGCCCCTTCGGGGCGCTGCGGGACAGAGGGCGCTCCCTGGGGCTGCGGGCACCCCTCCTCGCCCATGCCGGGCAGGGCTCGCCCCACGCCCGGCAGGGCAGTCGGACCCCCGGGCCGCCCCGCCGGCGGGGCCCGCACGCCCCGCTCGCCTCACCCGCCCGGCCGAGCCGCGGCCCAGACGCACCTGCGGGACCGCTGGGGTGGGGAAGGGGCGCCGCCAGCGCTGTGCTCCGGCGGGGGGTCCCCGTGCCCAGGCCCCCCGCCAGCCCCCTCTGCCGGGCCGGGCATGGGCTCAGGCCGCGGGGCCGGGGGGCGGCGGGGCCGGAGCCGGAGCCGGAGGCAGCGGCGCCCGCTCCCGGCCGGGCGCCGAGCGGGGCCTGGCGGCCGTGCTCCATCCCCAGCGGGCAGGCCGAGCCCCTCACTCCCTCAGGATCCACCGGGAGGCACAAGCAGCCTGGCAACGGCTCGCCCGGGGCTGGGGAGGGGGAGTGTGTAACACACAGGTGTTTCCCGAGGTTTCCCTGAACGGACCTCTGCGAAAATCCACGTCGCAGGAGCAAGAGGTGCTCCCACACTCCCCTTTGCAGCTTTGGTTTGGTTTAAAAATAACCAGAACAAAGCAAAAAACAAACAAACAAAAAACCCAAACAAACAAAAAGCCCAAATGGCATTAGTTCTTGCAAGCTCCATGACCACGTTTAAAGACAAATGTCACTGACATTCATATTTGTAACTCCATCGAAACCCCACCAATTACAGGACTGGAAATCTCCCAAGCACGGCAATAGCCCCAGATAAGGTGCTGGGATTTCACTTGTGCTTGAAATTAGCTGCATGGTATTACCTTACACCATAGTCTTGTAATGTTTTAGCTGTCTCAACCTCTACTTTTTGAGAGTTTGGAAGCATAATTGGAGCAGGCTTTAAAGTTGTTTCCAAAAATTTTATTTAAAAAAAAAAGGCCGTAATTGAAATTATGCCAATAATCAATGAACCATAACCTTGTCAGAAAGCTGCTTTTTCCCTATAAACTTTGTTCCTGTTACGTCAGTGCTGTCATGGACAATCTTTAAATTCTCCTGAAAAAGCAAAAACCCCTGTGATTCAGTTAAAATCTGTAATGACTTTTGGTGTGTCATTTCTCCAACACAATCCTACCTAGGACCTCACAGAAGAATCTGTAGCAGAGCTGCACTAAAGCTAGGTGATCAAGGCTTTGGTCTAGGTTGGCTGCACACTTAGTAAAGCTCATTATAAACCTTAGTACATATGTGCTTTTACAAATTGTGAGATTGCAGAGTTTTTGGGAACAAGCTGCATTGAAGTGCACAAATCAATGCTTGTTATTCCTGTGAAAAACTTGGGTGTTAGCCAGATCCCTTTCTGGTATCAATATTATCAGATATCTAAGCAAACCAAGCTGTGACTCTATGCAATTGTGTGCATCAGGACTAGAAAATTTGGAGAGTTAAAAACAGTGCTTAGTTTGCTGATGGTACAAAGACACCTTTCTGGTCTGGACCTGCTACATGCTCCAGCGCGGCTGCTGCAATCGTGATGGCAGCAGTTAATAACAAAGTGAGCCAAATAGGCTGGGTAAACTTTGCATGTAGCAGTTCAAACAAATCTTGACTCTTTCCTGATGAAGTGGTGGAATACATGATTAATCGGTTATATGCATCAATAGGGTACAATGCTAGCTACAGTATAGATGGAAAGGAGTTTTTTATGCTGTTTATTTCGTTTTGTTCGAATAGATAAGGCAGCTCTTTTTAAAAGACAACTGGAAATTGCTGCCTAATGTCAATTTTGTTTCTGTGTACTACTTTTTCACCTTCACTTTGAAGTAGTTTATTTTGCTAAGAGTTCTGCTAAGAATTTTCAGTACCTGGAGCTATTTGGCTTTTGAAAGAAGGAAATATCTTTTAGCACCACCATCTCATTTCCTTTTTGTCTGTGACATTTTTAACTACTGTCCCCTCACCGAAAGCCCTCTTAAAACTCCTTAGACTTTTTAGCCTGTGTTCTTTTGAATCATGGAGGAGGTAAAAAAGAAGCAGTATTCTGTTTAATCTGGGCCCTTTCTTCATAGAGCATAGCATGCTCTGGAAGCTGAGCAATCTCATTACGGCTAATTTGGTGGGAGCTGAAGTGGCTCACTGAAGTGCACTGAACTGCAGCCTCAGCCCCGAAGTGGTGCATGAATGAACTGCTGACATAGTTAGAGTAGAACATTAAGAATAAAAGGTTGAATCTCATTTTTTTCCTGCACCAGTTGTAATACTTGAATGTGTTTGTTAGGCTAAGTCATGTCAAATTTGGTAAATTAATTTTACCAAAGTAAATGAGTAAATCAATTTTACTCATTGAAGGTAATAGAATAGAAAGCTGTTGGGCTTTTCTGTGTAAGCTAGTGGTTTAAACTATATCTAGTAGGGCTCAAGGATTGGATATGGTAAAACCTGAACTTGGTAGCTCAAAGATGGTACAGTGCATTGAGTTGATACTTTTATGGGAATGAGATCTTGCTCCTGAGTGACCACTTTCCGCTCAGAACCCACCTGCCTATATTTAAAGCCAGGGCTCTTTTCTCCTTATGTACATAATTTATCTCATTTTTACCTGTTGTTTCACTGACCACTCGCTCTGTCTCATAAGGTCTTTCTGCCCTCATTTATACCGCTTCCCTCATTCTCACTACTATGAATACTTTCAGGAATTGGCAAACTATCATATCTCAGTGCTTCCTTCCCTGTCCAGGTTGTTGCTGAGAAAAGTCCTTATATTCTGAAATTACAATCCAATTATAATAAATTATGCAGAGGCAAAAAGACCAAAATTTGCCAAACCAGTAGTACCCACAAATACCTTACATGCTGATATTGTCCATGCTGATTTCTGAAACTCTGAATTTCTTGAAGAAATCAAGAAACACCAAATATTTGAATTTTTTCAAGTGAAGTGTCAAGTGCTGACAGGGTATAGTAATACCTAGGAGATCACTTCATATGAATTTCAATTCATCCAAGTCTTTCACATTGTAGAAGTTTTCATTACTCATTGAATCCACAGGAACTTGGGGTTACTGGCTTTTAAAGTTCTTCATAATGAAAGACCAGTAAATAATTTATCTAAAGCAAGGAAGAAGTCATTAATATTACATATACCAGGATGTCATGTGTAACAGGTATGTCTGTATTTAGCACCACGCTGTTATTGGTAGCCATGGAACCTGATCCTGTGTGGTGTTGCTCTGTTTTGATACCTCTTTCAGACCAGATTAAATAGATGAGGAAGGGTGCCAGTTTTATTTGACACAACCCAGGTTGCAAAATTAATGTGTAAACAGATCTATTATATAGCAACTTGGAGTTGGTAAGTGAACAAAGACTTCAACGGTTTTGTCCCTTTTAATACTTTGTGAGTAACTGTGGTTTAGGTGGAACTGATAATAATTTTGTTGCAGAAATGTTTAAAAATTTGGTGGTTCAAAACTGATAGTCATTGTAATACCTTGTTTGACTCAAAAAAAAAAGTTGTCTTTTGTTCATGTCAACCCTTAACTAATTTACCCATGTTCAACTTCCCCCCCCCCCTTTCCCGCGCTCTGGTGGGACCGCCCTTGCGTGTTACCTTAACTTCTCTGTTTTTTTTACTCTCTCCTTCTTGTGCCGTGTTTTGGTTTCGTGTCCCTTTTCTGACATCTTCCCTTTTGGTACTCTTTGGTTCTGGTCAGTTTCTTTTGCCGAAGTGGAACTTTCCGTTCCTCGCAGCGGTTTTCCTTTCGTTCCCCGGCTCTGACTTTGGCCGTCTCCTCCCTTCCACGTTCCCGCCGTGCCCGCTACCCCCCCCGCTTCCTGGCCTCTCCTGTCCGCTGAACGGCCCCGGACAACGGCAAATCGTTGCTCAAACCCCCCTTCCTCCTTTGCTTTTCTAGTCTAGTTGCAAATCCAGCAAGAAATGTAAGGAGTTCATTCAAAAAAACAATTTTTACATTTAGTTTTTCTAGATTTTTTAATTTTATTTTTACAGGTAATGGTTAAATGAGTCCCAAAATTTTTAATGGCTTCAGAATAACAAACAGTTCACTGGAAAGGTTGCCCAGATATGTTCTGTACTCAACAACTGAGTTTTTATTTAATTTTATCTCATAACAATTACAAGAAATCTTGAATTAGGCTTTATAATAAGGAAAAAACAAGTTTGGTTTGATATGAAATGTTATAAATCTACCACATTCACTCTTCTGACTATTTGTTTTACAGCTGGGAGGACCACGGCTGTAACTCAGAATAGCAGAGAGCAGCTAACAGGCTTGAGAGTAACAAATGCCCTGGTAGATAAGAGTGGGATAACTAAAGAATTATTTTAGCAATTTGAAGTGTGGAGGACAAGGGAAAGCTGATGATGAGGAAAGCTGAGGAAGAAGTCTGAAGATCAGACACCAGAATAGTTGCTATTTATAAGATGGTAGGGGCTTGGAAAAGAAATAGAGGAATGTGAGCTGCTTCAGGGGTAACAGGAATAAGAGACAGAGGAAACAGAGACAAAATTTCTAGCCAAAGGTTATCAGAGAAGGAGCAGAGCAGAATAGGGGGAGTTTTCAGTCATACAGAAGCAAGGTAAAATGGCCATCATTGCATCACTAATTAACATTTTTGACAGTCATGACCTTAGTATTACAAGTCTTTTGTAAAAGCACAGCAGTCTGAGTATTAATAAAGCATTCCTCTTCAGTTTCATTGGTGTATAGGTTATGTAAATGCATTTCGATTGTTTATTTACCAAGAATATGCAAAGCTGAATTCCTTAATTATGATGGTTATGACCTCTAGCTAATATAGTAATCATTGCTGCTAACATTAAGATTCAAAAATGATTTTCTGTTCACAAATACTTTTCACAGACAGACAGGCAGAAATTCCTGTTGATATACATGGACAATTATAAAAATAATGTTTTTTAGCAAATCTAGAGTTTGACATATCCGTACGAAAAAAAACCCAAAACATTTCAGATGATCTTAAAATAAATAGAGATATGTTTATAATATTATTCTTTGAAGTTAAGAACAGGAGAGTAAATACCAGTACAAATATTTCCCTGTGTAATCTAGTTACAGTGATATGTAAGGATTTAACATATAAGTCACCTCAGTTGCCAAAGTTTATAGTTCACCAAAAAAACCCAAAAGTACTGCATACATTCCATAGAAACCATTTGTGCAAGACAGTGTTTATTTATTCAAATACTACTAAAATTGCAAAGGTGTCTGCCAGGAAGATAAAGCAGATACATTACAGAGAAGTAAAGCACAGTCAGATAATTTGACACCAAAAAGCAGTAGCTTTGTGGTTTGGCAAGGTGTAAGATAAAATGTTCTTTCACTTGTCAGGGACAACATGTTCAGGTTTTAGTGACATAAACAGCTCCTTTAATTTTCATCTTGTATATAGGTAAGCACACTTATACAGAATGGAGAGCCCTGAAGCTATAAATGCATAATGAACCAAACCTCAGAATATTTGTTCATGTCCCTACAGTTGCAAAATAGAATTATAACCTGCCTTGTTAGTACATATTTTGTGGAACAAGTGTAAAGTGTTTCTCAACACTTTTGCTGTCTGTTTTCCGCCTTTCTCCTATAACTTAGGTTCAGAAACAATCTGAATGTCTAGAACTTGAGCAGATGTGAAGAAATGAGACCCTTCTTCTCCAGCGCCCCTGCACAGGTAACACTAGACACCAGGACAGAATTAGGCTCCTGGGGCCCTATCAGAATTCCCTCTCACCACCTGCATCCACTGAGCTAAATTTAAATACTCCTACTGAGTTCAGTGATACAGGATCAGCCTTTGTTGCCCCATGCCTCTGCCAAGGTAATATCCACCTGTGGTGTCAGTTTTGAGTCCTTAGTTCATTATACCGATTGTTCCAAATTACTTCCATTCCATTCACAAGGAAATGGCAAGTATCCAGTTCTGTGGGAGGACGGGTGTTGTAGGGTTGTGCCTGTTGCCTCCCCCACTCTGGCACTCCACTCTGTTGCTGATACCCCTCTTACTATGATGACAGTTTTAGTTAAAGAGACCACAAATCTGTGCCTGCTAGTTGTACCTCAAATCCAAATTCACTGCTGCCCGTGTCTCTCCTCTGGAGTCTAACCTTGGCATACTGCCAACCATTTTAAGACTCAAAATTAACTTAATTCAGCCCTATTCACAAGATCAATGAGTTCCCTCTCAAATATATTTTATGTGAAGCAGATTTGTGAAAAATGTTTCTTAAGCAGTGCAATTTCAACACAGCTATTGTGGCAGTGCAAATGCATCACCAAATCATCGGCTGGGGATGAGGTTGCTTGATCTATTATGCAGTCACAGCAATAAGAAACACACTGTGCTCCTATTTATTCATTTTACCATTTGCAACTCACCTGATAAGTGTGTTTGCATGAAGTTGTCCATTTTTCCCTTTGGAATACTTTGTCGCAATTTTCCAACAATAATGACAAAATAGTCTGTTAATAACATGAATTGACAAGTTTCTTAGTAAGACCATTGTGTTCTCACCAATACCTAGCAAACAGAGATAATGAAAAGGCATGTTCTTAGTCCTGGTAAGTCACAGTTGTATTTTCACGTTCTTGAACAAGCAGAAATGAGACAGTCCTCCCAACCAGAGATTAAAAGAGTTTAATTCACTCAACAAGCAGAGGCAACATAAGAGTATTCATCAAAGCCAGGAGGATAAAGAGGAGACACAGTAGTTTTGAACTGCATTTAGTGTTCCAGTGTTTTGCTGAAGTTAAATATTGTTTAGGACATAACCTGAAATAAGAAGCAAGTTGTCATTGTTTGCCTCCTGACACATCTTAGTGGCTTTTTTTTAGACCTTTCATCTGTAGAACAGGTAACCTGCACACCTCGATGATTTTTAAGCTTGTCTTTTTGTTGTGTAATAGGACGCTGCTAGTGCTTGGAGCCTGTCCTTTCCTCTCTTTGTGTTCCTCACTGTAAACCCAGTTTCTTTCAGGGAGTGAAGAACAGCAGTGACCTGTTATAAAGTCTGGCACTTCACTAGCCTGTATCCTGCAGTGTTTAAGTACTTTAAAAAATGGGGCAGGCTTTAGAAAACAGCCTTCCAACTGATTTCATGCGTCTAATAATAACCTCTTAGGCAAGGAACAGTGCATGTGCCTCACGCAAGTGATCATACTGTCAAAGTAGACAGAGACATACAAGCTACAAGCTCAGAAAAACAGTTTTTTACAGGCTGTGGATAGGTTTTTGTTCTTTCCATCCTGGACAAAGGCATCAATTCAATATTGGGATGGCCATCATGGAGCGAAGAAGACAATTTTCTTCCCTGTGATTTTAGCATAAAAGGACTTAGGCAACTCTCACTATTCTCATTGAGGACTGGCCTGAGTATTTCTTGCACGTGATTTCATGGCTTATTTGCTTTTGTGCATTACTCAGTGGATGTTGGTGATAAGGTTGCACTTTCTGAGTGGTTAAATTTGTTAACATTAGTAGCTAGAGATATGGAATGCTGTGCACTACTGTGATCATTTTAGGTCTCCAAGCAAAACTTTCCTGAACAGAAATAGCAGTGTGCTTATCTGTCCTAAATCAAAACAGCCATTAGGCTTCCACTTAAAATTTCACTGATTCTACATCTGTATGCTAGTTTGGTCCAAGCCAAAGAACACTGTGTACATTAGCATTTCACAACTTAGTAATCATTCTCAAACATTATAGGTTTCTGTAGAGACTGTTGGAATTAGATGAGTTGCTTTTCATAGGAGAAAAAACTATTCTATTCAAAATACTAACAGAGAACTAACAAGAAAATATTAAAAAAAGAATGAGAAAAAAAAGATTGAGAGTATATTCCCATTTATCATAATCTCCTTTTTCCAAAGCTTGACATATATTAAATTTTTTGTGAAGCACTCATTGTGCTATGCTAGCAAAGGATGTCATAACATTAACATGCAAAATGACATAGAATGTTCTTGCTACTCAGTTCTTTCACTTGTTAAAACCTTCAGTGATACTATCAATCATTGTAGAAGCACTGCAGGGACCTGAGTTTTCATCTTGTTACATAGGTGAATGAAACATTAATTGTTTGGTATCAGTGTATTATTTGGCAGTTTGAAGATTTTGTTTTTCCTGACAGCAGTTTATGTGGGCTTCTGAGTTTCCCTTGTTCTGTAGAAGTATCAGTGAGAGGAAAATAAAGAGATGCAAGTCTAGGCAACCTTTTTCTTTCCTGAAACAAGAGCTCAAATAGGTTTATATTTAAGTTACAGAAAGAGTCCTCATTTATTTAATATTTCTTTTCTAATTTATTAAATCCCTCTCTTGTTCATTCAGATCAACTCCACTGGGATTCAGCAGTGTGTTATTGATCATAGCAAGCCCTGGACAGACAAAAAACAGCTCACACAGTTTCAGTTAAAAATGTCTCTGTTACATGGAATTGCATCTTTTCCTTATTTATGGCAATTCAGGTGACCGGCAGTTAGAAACACTAATGAAGGTTGCTAGAACAAATGAAAAGTATTTTACTTTTGCCTGAAGATATTCATGCAGCAGATTCATGTCACTTAATTAGCCACTTAAATGACATGAGGTATACCAGTAAGAATGAGAAATAATATCACTGATTCCAGTGATATCACTAATCACTAGAAATATCACTAATTTTAGTGATATTCCAGTGATGAACCTGAACATTGTCTTTTGAACATTGTCGTCTTCTTACTCATAAGAAGCCTTCCAGATTTAATCTGTTTCAAGTTCACAGAATGAAGTTCAACGACCCATTTAGAGCAAAAATCTCATACTCTTTTTACAGCTCAGCAGTAACCCCTGATATGAAAGCTCCCACGATGTGTGGAAAGGACATTTGTGGGATAGGGGATACTCTCCTCATCTAAAAGATTTGTAGTAGTGAGCTGTGTTATAACTTCACTGCAGCCAATAGCGTAGTTAATAATAGTTAAAACCTGATCTGATTCTGGTGCTGAATTTCCTATGGTTCTGCTACTTCCTGGCAGTGTTCAAACTCTTTCAGTTTACCTTGCAGAACTCAGGCCACAGTTGCATCCTGATACCAAAATTGAACCATTTGTAAATCGAAATATACTGCCTTCTATTTCTTATCATGGAAAGAAATTCCAGAGGAGGAACAATACTCATAAACTGAACTTTGCCAGAATGTTTTTTTATTAAACATTACAATAAAAGTCTGTAACACTACACTGAATTTACCATACCAAGCATGTATATAAATTCAATAGAAGACATTGTCAATTTGGCAGTGTTTCATCAGACAGCTTAGTTATCTGATTGCATTAATGCTACATATCCCAACTTTCCTTGTTCTGGTTATATCTCTCCCTGTTGGAATCCAAGCCCTGGAGTCAAATTAGAAAATTTCTCTACTCTTTGAAATTGTTGGATCAAAGAAATGAGTGACATCTCTGATCTCTGAGAATAGAAAAGCACACGCTTTGGTAAGATCTTGCTCACTGTTAAGAAATCATGACTGGAGACATAACACATGGTTAAAACAGAGTTAGGGCCAAAACCATGAAGTCCAGAGCTCAAATCTCATCTGCAACTGACCTAATGTGATTCCTGGTGTTAGTGTTCAGATTCAGTCCCACACTGAAAACTGCAGATCCAACTTTCCTGTGTTTGGAACATGATGTTTAAATATGATAAAAATCACTAAACTTCTCTCTAGCTAAACTTAAATTAACCAGAGCTTTTCTGAGCCTCTCATGCCAATCTACTTTTTTTTTTGCTGGGTTCCTCATCCATTGCCATCACTTCAAATGAAAAAATACTGCCTTTAATCAAATGAAACAGCGTCATTAGCTGGTTCAGAAAACTCCTCAGGCATTAAGGAGATGCTGTGAAGCCAGGTGCTCTCTGTTAACTGTTACATTCAGACTGCTGGGAGAAAAGTGATTATCTGCAGCGTAGTGCATCCCAAAATGCAAACAGTAAATCAGTCCCCGTACGTCTGGGCATGCTGGAGCTGCCATTAACTGGGACGCAGACGGGGAGCTGTAACCCGTGTAAGAGATGCCCTCCACTGCCCTCGGGAGCGCCCGTGGGCCGGAGGCGCCTGTGCCCGGCTCGGCATTGCCACCTCCCGGCCCAGCCCCGGCACTCTGGCCCGAGATTCTGCTGGAACACCAGCCCCTCTTCGTTTCCAAACAGCTGAGAGCTGTCACAGGCACTTCGAGCTTCCCAGTAGTGCTGCAGGGAGTTTTTTGCTTTACTCTGGCCCTGTAGGGAAGCCTGGATAGCAAGAAAAGATGGGGCACAATGGCACTGGGGATCATTGCGTGGAAACCCGTGTGCGACAATATAAAGGTGCTTTCATATATGTGACGTGTGTGGATTGATGTATGACACTGCAGGTCATCACTGTGTTTTCAAGTTCTAGGCTAGGCTGAGGACCTGTTGTTGCACCAGGGATGTCTTTACCCATACACCTCATTGGCACTACATTGGCACAGCACTGGCTGACTTCTGGTCAAAGTTCAGTATTTCTGTACTAGCACACTGAACAAATGAGCAGTGGCCTAAAGCCTCGCTTTCCTTGCCCATTCTCCATTTATCTCACCTTTCTGTATAACCAAGAGTTTGTAAGGACATGTGATGTTTCTTCATCGCAGAGTAAAGCTAGGCTTAAGACATACATTCATTTAGCAGATGAGTTAGAGCTAATGCCTTCTTACCACACCTCTTATCCTAGGATTTGTTATTACCTCTGTGCCAGATATCACTGGTGGAATGGCACTCCTCAACCACGTCAGTGCAAAGTCCGATGGCTTAACTTAGGCTGTTGCGCAAGGCGGTTCAAGCTAAGCTGCCGTGTATTGCATGGACTATAGAAAATGCCCATATATTTTCTTCCATCAGCAAAACTGAGAGGGGCTCACATTCAGAGGGTAGCAGACAGCTGGGAGGCTGTAGCATTGTGAATCTCTGATATTTTTTCTGTGAATATTTTGTCTGGGACTTCTACCATCCATTTCACTGGGCACTTTTAACAAAAGTGTACTTAGAACTTGGTCTTATTATAGTGCGGTGAAAGACTCATACTTTCATTTAAGTATTCCTCAACTTGCTGGGTATGAAACATTTTAACATTAAATTTAGAAAATGCACCCTCCCCTTACAGTTTTAAAGATTCTATTTAAGTCTCAGCAGTACATCAAAACATTCATGTGTTGACTAGTTAATAAATACAACAAAACTAGAAGAAAATATTATATAGTTAACATTATGTAGCTTTTCATCTGTGGGATGAATATGCCCACCTATACAGCAGTCAAGAAACCATTTTAATTAGAACTTAAATTAGACTTTTTAGACCTGTGAAGAAGAAGACGGCAAAAATAGGCCAAAAGATACCACCAACTGCAGAGAAACTCATCATGCACCACCAATGTCCTAGCAAAACCAAAAATGTTCTCTAGCATGACCACAATGTAGAAAGAAAGCGTTGCAAGCTCTAGCATAGAAAGAGTGCTTATGTGAGGGCTTCAGATTAGCAGGCATGAAGAGTGTTTCTACATATTTGAACATCTCAAGAAGACATATAAGACAGAGGAAAACCTGAACTTTCAGCAGCATTTTAGATTTCCTGCATCAGTAACTTTATGCACAGTTTTCCAAAGGAAAAATTTGATGAAAATTTTGTAAGATCTTATAGCAAAGCTAAGGCTAGTTTTTGGATGCTTTTTTCCTCTGGGTAAATGGTACATGTCAGTCTTCAGGACTGGCAGCTCAGCACTTTCACCACCTTTCCATGAAGATAAATTAAAATGTTAAAAAAAAAGCCCATGTTTATGCTGTTTCTGAAATAGAGCAGAAATCACAGTGCTAATTGAGAGGCAAACTCCTCACACGTTGTTTTTTTCTATATGCAGGTCATGAACTGAAATTTAACTAGATTCAAAGAGCTGACTGGATAAAAGGGACAACATTTGGGGTCCCACAGATCATGGCAACAATTATTGTGAGGTCAATAGCTGTAATATGGATACTGACTTTTGAGTTATTTTTTCAATTAGTCATCTGAGTGATATGAAACTAAATGTCTGGGCTGGTACTGACTAATGTGTGTATCACCGTAATTATCAGGGCATTTTGGCATATTTTTTCTTGCTATAGGATCGTCTCAGAGTCAAGCATGCAAGCCAGAAGGCAACATCTTTCCTTCCATGAAGACTACTGGCATATAACTGCACTATTTTAGTTCTGCATTATGGCTGGAGATGTTTTCAGACTTTTCTCTTTATTGAACGATGAAACGCTTCATTCAATTCAGGAAAATGACCGATCTTGGCGATTGCTTACAGCACAGAGAGCAAGCAGCCACTCATCCTTTTTTTTTCCCCTGCAACTCTGCTGCTCGTCCAGCAGGGGGAGATGCAGGAACAAGGAGCCAGTTTCTCTCAACGTCTAAAGAAAAAGACCTGGGATCATTTGTCAGGACAGTTCTCCTTTGTCTAAGCTACTGTACAACAGGTCAAATACAAGACATTTATGAGACACTTATTTACTATCTTAGTTTAGTCTTCGTTTTGCAGAGGAGTGAAAGGTCTATCAAGTAATTAGACAGTGTTTTCCAGGCCCTGGTATTGAGTGCTCATCAATAGTAAATCTTCTGAGTTTCAGCTGTCAGTCATTAATAACTGAGTGCATGTTTGAGCTGTGCAAATCCAGGTAAAAGAGACATAAATGTGGTTGAAAGAGAAAGTATAGATTTGTTTAGCTTTTTATTACTTAGTGCAGTATTTTTAAGCAAACAGACTAGTGCAACTAAGCAAAGGAAACTGAAATGGCAGCCTAAATTAATTGACTATGCATGATAATAGCTATTTAACTATGGATAAAAGGAAGTTTAGCTATCTATTCAGCATGTAATTTTTCCTGTACCTTACCAGTGTGTTGGTCTGTTTCATTACTAAAATGTATTCTTCATGCTGTTGTATCTTGGCCTATAGCATTGTTCTTCTTCAAGGAAGTTTGTTTCTTATTATTCATTTATCTTACTATAGTACTCTGTCAGGATCAGATTATGTGAACGTTCCCTACATGGGTTTGATTTCATTCCTACACTTGTGCCCACAAACACTGTTGTACTTTTGGGGTACTAGGATTGCAAGTAGATGCAGGAAAGAATGGCAGCAAATAGACAACTTACCTGCTCTAAGTTAAGCAAGTACAGAGCTCTGTATGATTTTGGCTTTACTCATGCCCAGTTTATCCAGTAACTTCCATCTGTTTAGGTTTTGCTGGCTGGTTTGGTCATTATCTTTGGTCCTCATATCTCTTTCTCAAACTGTGCAGTGTCACGATGATCTTTTTCCCCTCTCTCATTAGGTATTTGTTAGACCAAGACGTATTACCTTTCATTTTCCAAGCTGGACACTGTAATAAACCAGAAAATATCTGGCCAGATCCTGAAAGCATTTGACATTCATGCACAAGGAATTAATATAAAGTTATTTGACACCCCAATAACTGTATACTTACACTGTGCTTTTTGCCTTAATCCCCTTTATAAATGCTCTGAGTGCAGCTCTGGTAGAGCTTCGCATTCTGACATAGGCTGACACACTACGACTTCTTTCGTTAGGTGTGCATTTAAACTGAAGCAGCCTTCAGGCCGGGTAGAAAATATCTAAATCTTTGCTTATCAAAGTTTGGGTTTAGATATGAGTCCAGACTTCACAGCTAACAATGCCTCTGAAATAGTCTTTTTCGGGTGGTTTGCTCAATGCTCCCTCAAAACTCCAGAGCTATGCTCATGAAAGTCGACGACATTTTGCAGAATGTGTTACTTACCAGTCGTATTCTCCTTATGCTCTTCTGCCTACTGGTTATATCAGCCTGATAAGCTCCTAAATACAGATAAAAAAGTAGCAGAGGTGAGGCTTGTCTTATCTGCCTACTTCATCACATGGTCAAAGGATACATTAGCAACCACTTCACTGGGGATAAATATATGCCACACACAGAGTTGTTGCACTCAGGTTGGGACAGACAAATCTCCTTTTCAAAGAATGGGTGAGGCAAAGCCAGAGCTTGCTCTGGAAGCTTTCCATGCCTGACTAGGCGATAATGTCAGATCCTCTCTTTTCTTTAATCAAAAGGGTGAACTTTTAGCATGTGTCACTGTGGACACGTTTATTTGTTTAGAGCTACTTGATCAGGTGGAAACAGGGCATGGTCACAAGGGATAACCACAGAGCAGCCAGGCTGGGAGATGTCCTTATAGAGCTGTGTGAGTCTTGAACTGAAAAGGAAGAAAATAGGAGACGAGCTGCCTCTGCCTCAACAGGCAGGATCACCACGGTTCTGGAGGAGGAGATGATGTAAGGAGGCTGCAGCTGCACATATGCCATGCTGGGGGCGGTTCTAGGAACTTCCCCTTCTCTGCCTGCCCAAGATCCTGATAAGTATAAAATATTGTGAAATTGTAGTAGATGTTTGTGTTTAAGTAGGAAACTGAAGATCTAGTGCATTTGGCATCTTTTTTTCCTAACGTTTCTGGTAATTTTTAGGTGAGAATCCTGGGCTGGAAACAGGTAGATCTTGAGGTGTAAATCTGGTGCAGTTGCATCCTGATAACTGCATGAGCACACACGCAGACTGTGCATGAAATGCTGGCATTTGAAAATATGAAAGGGGAAAAAAAAGTGGATCTGCATTTGATACTATTGTGAAGGATTTGCTCTGCTTCTGAAGATTGCCTTACATCTGCGCTTTTTTAAAGTCAGGGCAACTAAATATTTTTCCAGTTTCTCTACCAGAGCTAATGTGCCTAGGGAAATGCAGGGACTCAGTCCTACTTCAAAGTCCAGTTGAGACCCAGGGATGAATGTGCACCATTATCTTCCTTACACTCATTTTTCTGGGAGCTCTTCCTTTGTTTACTCTCTCCTGAAACAAAACTTATCTGCCACCCTGTTCAGACTGCAAAGAAAGTGATTTTCATCACTTGTATTTTTTAGCTATCACCAGCTATCAGGCTGCAGATTCCAGCCTGAAAGGTGGGATAAGTTGTGTCTTCATTTGAGTATAGCTCCAGGCTTCCACTTAAAACATTACAGACAAGATGGTTTAGGGTCTAGTAAGAGCAGTGATCCTGCTCCATGGATTTAACTTTGAAATGCATAGATTTAAAAAGTCCACCTCTGTAACATAGTTATTTGTTAGATTTTAATCAAGAATAAGGATCCTAAATTTGCTGTCTAAATATGTCTAGGGCTTGGACAAATTTTTTCATCACCGATATTCTAATTATATAAAATAGATGTGGATGTAAACAGAAAGCATTTTTTTCATGACTAATAAAAATATAAGTGGATCTAAATAAGTATCATATGGTGTTTGATTTTAAAAGATAAGAGATCATCAACTGTCAGATAAACTCAGTTTGGCTTGATTTTAGCTCAATTTCACAAATTAAAGGCAATAAAATATAAGTTCATGGACTATCATTTTAAATTATTGTCATTGATGGATAAGATTGTTAAGGAAATAATCCCTGTATCTTTCTGTGCTAGGCACAGTCAACTGCGTCAAATTTCTGAAGTAATATTGCATCAAACGTATATCTGTTGTTATGTTCCCCAAGCTTATAAGAAACTGGGTAGATCTAATAAATGAGAACTGCTTGGTTTTAATATGAGGGAAAGTATTCTTTGACACAGATTCTTGTAGTGAATGGCTATTGCCATCTGAAGTGGAGTCTCATTCTGTCATTTCTTGCTAGAATAAGAAATATTAGTATATTTTAATGGAGTATCTCTATATAATGGTCTGCACAAAGATAGAGTCCCTACTTCTTCCCACCCCCACCCTGCTCCCAAAAATGATAAATTACTGCTGTGTATTTACTACAGTGTTTCATTATCTTCATTTACTATGTGCCCTTTAGCTCCCTGATAGATAATTAATAATATATTTGGTCTTGGGGTTATTTGTATTTGTAACTTTACTCTTCGGGAATCTTAACCAGTCCGAACTGCATCTGACCTAATTTTTCAAGTTTTTGTTAAAAGCAAAGTTATTAATCTTCAGATTTCTCAAGCCAAGTCATGCATTAATGTTCTCAAAGTAACAACCACAACTAAAATCCCTGGTAGCAAACAAGCTAACCGAGAAAGGTAGTTTCATGGTGTGGCCTCTTCACCTCTTTTTTTTGCACTTCCACTTTTGCTCTGATGTCATGAGTTGGCGTGGTCAAAACTATAGTCATGTCCTTGAAAACTATTACAGTCACTTATGTATTCCTTAAATCATGACAGACACACATGCATGCACACATGCACACATTCGTGAGGGTAAGGACTTTGCTAGTTGAGTAGGGACCACTGAAATGATGCTTGTTATTAACAAAAACCTTAAAATGCACCTAACAGCAATAATCACTACTGAACTTTCAGCTGTATTGTTTGTGCATCATTTGTATTGACATGCCTCCTCTTTTTTTTGCCACAAAACTAGCAAACCACTCCTTTCTAATGTGAAGAGAAGGCAGAACATTAATTGTTTGAGAGGAACTTGAGGATAACAATTACAGTGATTCCCAGGATGCTTTTAGTGATCCTGAAAGCTGAGCATCAAAGCATTTACCTTTGTTTCACATTCTCACAAAGCAAATCTATAGAGGTAATTGATGAATGTAATTTTTCCCCCTTCTTGTGCTGCAAGGAGTGTTCTGAGTTCCTGCTATTGTTCCTATGCCTGATGCCTGTCCCTGCCACTTATTGCTTTTGTTGGCAGATCACACGTGCTTCGTGTTGCCACACAACTCCTTGCCCTTTAGAAAATCCTTTAACTCCACTTTCTCCTCTGATAGTACGGCAGTGTGCCAGCAGCTCCTCACTTTTCATACTTAAAGCATCTAGGTTGTGTAAGAGGCTCAATATTGGATGCCACTGCTTTGGAGGGTTCTTTGTGGTGGTTTTTAATATAGGAGAGCACAATCTGGATGTGGCAGAAAAGGCAGGGTTCAGAACTGTTTTCCAAAGCAGTCATTACAAGTCAGACCCACTACACTAGGTCAATGAGTAAACTATCAATGCCTCTCTATACCTGTCATGGCAAAAATACACTGGTGTGCAGCTGATCCCATTAGCATCACTACTTTAGCCCAAATTCCAGTTGTTTGGGCTTTTAACCAAGCATTAACTTGAAGGTCCCCAGTGATTGTGGCATTACAGGGGGAGATTTCTACAGATGTAAATTCTCCCCAAATTCCTCAGAGGTAGAGAGTGCCCACCTTCCTAATCTCTTCCTTTCCAGTTCAAGAAGAGGTAGTTAGAAGTTGTGAAAGAAACTGTAGACCAACTACCACCCCCATCTGCTGAAGAGCAGAGAATTCAGGAAACCAGTAGCAGTGACCAGACCCACTCAATGGGAAGAGATTTGCAGAAAAAAAAAAAAAGGGAAAAAGAAGGACCCCTATTTATCTTGTCCAGAATTGACCAAGCAGCTATATACCCCCTTTTGAGGCCATACATGATTGGGATGGCAGGAGTAAGCTCCGTGGTTTCAGAGTTGAAAGTCTTATTGGCTAGCAGAAGCTTTGATGGTAGAAAATGTAGTGTTTGTGCTTCCTTAAACCAACTTCAGTGAATCCGGCCCTTCGTTGCTTGTAGTATTCAGGTGATCTAGATTTTGCTGTTCTGTTCCCCAGATCTGTATTCCATGACAAAAAATGAAAGTTGCGCTTCATGACCTTTTTCCTGTGCATGGTGAATTTGAAATTACCACTAAAGTAGACCCAGGAACATCTGTGTTAGTTCGTCCCAATTAATTAGCATATGTATCTGTGTATGCTTCCCCTACATGTCACAATGGTCTTGCTTTGAAGTCTTGGACTCAAACTAGTACTGCACTGATTTCTAAAGGCTTTGTGATACATAAAGGAGTTGCTAATGATGCCAAATACACTAGTAAATGCTGGATTTCACAATG